TCAAGTCGGGCGGTCACATGGTCATCCTTGAGATCACCCACCGTGAGCATAGCCGACTCGGCTTTCTCTTCGGCTTGTTCTCCGACTGGTGGGCTGGCGTTGACGATGGCCGGGTTTTGGAGCCATTTGTCTCGTACGACCGGTGGGACGCCATCTTGAAGCGTGTTGGGTTCTCGGGCATCGAGAGCCGCACTCTCGATCGAGATGCCAACCTGTTCCCCACGTCCGTTTTCAGCACGTACGCCGCTGATTCCAGGATCGACGCGCTATACAACCCTCTGTCTTCCCCCCTCAAGACCTCCTACCCACCATTAGTCGTCGTCGGCGGCAAGTCCCCAGAGACACGACGCATCACAGAGGAGTTGACCGGTACCCTTCCGCACAGATCCGTTCAGTCTATCACCAGCCTTGACGAGCTCGCGTCGGCGGACCTGCAGCTCAAGTCCACCTTTGTCGTTTTGTCCGAGATCGACGACGAGATCTTCGCTCACCTGGACGAGGACAAGTTCGAGGCCGTCAAGAACCTGCTCTTCCTCGCCGGCAAGATGCTGTGGCTGACGGAGAGTGCCTGGATCGATAACCCGCACCAGGCCAGCACCATCGGCATGCTGAGGTCAATCGCGCGGGAGCATCCCGACCGGGGTCTGACCCTCATCGATGTCGACTCTGCAAAGGAACTGGACACCAAGTTTTTGGTCGAGCAACTACTCCGTCTCGAGGACAGCGACGACGACTTCACCGCGACATCGACGTGGACCGATGAGCCCGAAGTGTACTGGTGCAAGGGTCGCGCCTGGATCCCTCGCCTGAAGCATGACAAGGCTAGGAATGACCGCATGAACTCCTCTCGCCGCCCTGTGCTGGGCAACTTCGACCCCAACCAGACACCTGTCGCTCTAAAGCAAACGAAGCCGTCGGCATACTACCTCGAGGCCGTCGAGACGTTCCCGGGCCTGGGTGACTCCCAGAAGGCCGATAACACGACCGTACGTGTCCGCTACGCTCTTTCACAGGCCATACGTGTGAGCCACCTTGGATTCTTCCACCTTGTGCAAGGAAACACTTTGGACGGCGCGTCCGTGGTGGCCCTCTCGGAGCAAAACGCGTCCATAGTCCATGTCCCGCAAAACCACGTCTTTGCGGCACCAAGCAATGTGGCCGATAAGGCCCCTGGCGAATTCTTGATATCGGTGGCGGCAACACTCATCGGCGAAGCCGTTTCCCGTAAAGCCCAAGATTCCGGGCCCGCGGCTTCGGTTCTCGTTTTCGAGCCGCCGAGCTTTTGCATCGGTATCCTGCTGGAGGAGGCCGAGCGACGGGGCTTTCAGATCTGCTTCGCCACGACATGGCCGAGCTTGAAGAGCACCTCCTCCGCCGCCAGTTCCGCTCGATGGATCATCTTGCACGGCAAAGAGACTGATGGCCGGCTGAAACAGATTCGCCCGGCCAACCTCACGGCTTTCTTCGACATGTCGATCAACCAGCCCGCCGTTGAAATCGGCCATCGCCTGGCCAATATGCTTCCCCCCAGTTGCTACAAGTATGGCTGCGATTACATCGTCCACAGCACAGCTTGGTCATCTTCCAGAGGCTCGGCTCAAGAAGCAAACGTGGTCGAACAATCGATCGTTGCTGCGGCGGGCAGAACTATCGGCAACGAAGTTTACCAACTCTTCCCTGCGAGCCAGTTCTCTGGCCCAACTGATAAGCGCCTGGAGCTGTCCACCCTGGTTGACTGGAAGGCGGAGAAGCCGTTGTCGGCAAAGATTCGCCCAGTCGACTCAGCCAGTCTCTTTGTTGACGATAAGACCTACCTGCTCGTCGGCCTCACCGGAGACCTAGGGCGGTCCTTGGCCCGATGGATGGTCTTGCATGGCGCCAAGTATGTTGTGCTCACCAGCAGAAACCCTCGAGTTGATCCCAGATGGATTGCCCACGTTGAAGCTTTGGGCGGAAAAGTTACGGTTTTGCCCATGTATGTTGATGCAGTCCACCAATCCCCCTCGCCCACCTTTCGACATCTCATTGTCGTTTTCTGACCACAAATCCTTTTCTTTTTAGGGATGTTGCCAACCAAGAGTCGGTCGACGCTGGCTTTGCCAAGCTCCAAGACTTGAAGCTGCCGCCTACGGCCGGCATTGCCTTTGGGCCTTTGGTTCTTCAGGATGTCATGCTCAAGAACATGGACCTCCAGTCCATGAGCATGGTGTTGGAGCCCAAGGTACGGGGCGCACAGATCCTCCACGAGAGGTTTTCCGATCCGGCCAGCAGCAATCCGCTCGATTTCTTCGTCATGTTCTCGTCCATCGTGGCGGTCATGGGTAACCCAGGCCAGGCGAACTACAGTGCGGCCAATTCCTACCTGCAAGCTCTGGCTCAGCAACGGTTGTCCAAGGGATTGGCGGTAAGTCAAAGCTCCGATTGTGCTTTCTTTTCATCGTGCCACTTTCGATTATCGGCGTGGGTAGAGCTCAACTGACCGTTGTGAACAACTCCAGGGTTCGACTATCGACATCGGAGCCGTCTACGGTGTCGGATTCGTCACCAGGGCCGAGCTTGAGGAAGACTTCAACGCGATCCGGTTCATGTTCGACTCGGTCGAAGAATACGAGCTTCACACGCTGTTCGCCGAAGCCGTCGTGTCCGGCAAACAGACGCTCGCGAGGTTTCAGAACGAGGAGAAGCGTGAAAGGACCGTGATCGAGATGGCGGACGTCGAGTTGACCACGGGCATCCCCGCACTTGACCCTGCTCTCAAGGACCGCATCACGTTCTTCAACGATGCTCGTGTTGGAAACTTCAAGATTCCTGAGCAACGCAAAGACGCCGTGGAGGGCGGCGGCGTCAAGGGTTCCGTCAAAGAACAGCTGCAGCAGGCAACGACCTTGGGCCAGGTTCGACAGATTGTCATTGGTAAGCGCCCGAATCTGCCAACAATTCCTTTTCCTCTGTGCCATTTTGTTTTTGTTTCTGGGAACGTATCAAACTGATGACCCATTTAGATAATTTGTCGGCAAAGCTGCGTGTCACTTTGCAAATCGCGGATGGGGAGGGCCTTCACCCGGATGTCCCCCTCATAGACCAAGGTGTCGACTCTCTGGGGGCCGTCACCGTTGGTTCCTGGTTTTCGAAGCAGCTGCTCCTTGACCTTCCACTATTAAAGGTGTTGAGCGGTGCGTCTGTGGCCGACCTGGCCGACGACGCCGCTGCGCGACTGTCGGCGAGCGCCATTCCCTTGGTGAACCAAGGAGAGGAGACCATCGCGGACAGCTCCGACGATACCAGGTCCAACACGGCGACGAATGAAACTTCTACCGGAACGCCCCTTACTGGCTCGGTCGACTCGTTGTCGGATGACGAGGCCGAAAAGTTCGACGACGACGACGGACACGTTGTCGTACGGCACGAGAAGATGTCCTTGGCCCAGGAATACTCCTGGAAGGTCCAGCAGGGGATCGAGGACCCTACCGTCTTCAACAACACCATCGGCATGTTCATAAAGGGCGCCATTGATCTCGAGCGGTTCTCTCGGTCTCTCAAGACCGTGATGCGTCGTCACGAGATCTTCCGGACGGTCTTCGACCAGGGTGGCGACGACTGCGACTCGAACAAGACCCCCCAGCAAACGGTCCACAAGCATACGAATAATAAGGTCCAGATCCTGCAGGTTTCAGACCGAGCGGCGGCGGAAGAAGTGTACCAGAAGCTCCACGAGACAAAGTACGACATCGCAGGGGGCGACACGCTCAGGCTCTTCGACTGTCACTGGGGCAATGACGAGCACCTGTTGATCGTTGCCTATCACAGACTCGTCGGCGACGGATCGACCACAGAGAACCTCTTTGTTGAAGCAGCGAAGCTCTACAGCGACGTGCCGCTGAAGCAGCCGACGGTTCAGTTTGCCGACCTTGCCGCCCAGCAGCGCAAGGACTTGGAAGAGGGCCGTCTCGACGAGGATATCTCGTTCTGGAGCTCCATGCACAGCAAGTCATCCGCGTTCGCGCCGCTGCCCCTCATGCAGTCCTTGACGAGCGGCGACGCCTCGTCGCAAGAACCAAAGGGAGCGTCGGTCATCTGGTGTCAGCACGAGGCGATCGGGCGTCTAGATCCCATGGTCGCTTTCCGCATCAAAGACCGCAGCCGGAAGCACAAGGCGACGCCAATGCAGTTCTACCTGGCCGTCTACCACGTGTTGCTGTCGCGCATGACGGGCAGTGACGACATCGCCATCGGCATCGCCGACACCAACCGCTCCACCATGGACGAGTTGTCGGCCATGGGCTTCTTCGCCAACCTGCTCCCGCTGAGGTTCGGCGAGTTCACCTCCTCCAACACCTTTGGCGAGCACTTGGTGTCCGTCAAGGACAGTGTGAGGGAGGCCCTGAAGCATTCTCGCGTGCCCTACGGTGTCATCCACGACCGCCTTGGCTCCGGTCTGCCTACTGCGACCACAGGCGCTCCGCTCTTCCAGGCCGTCTTCGACTACAAGCAAGGCCAGGCTGAGAGCGGCGCGATTGGTGATGCCGTCATGACCGAGGTCATCGCGTCCCGAGAGCGCACCCCTTATGACGTAGTGCTCGAGATGTCGGATGATCCCACCAAGGATCCTCTCATCACGGTCAAGCTGCAGGGCTCCAAGTATTCTCCCCAAGGTTCTCGTGTTTTCTTGGAGAACTACATCTCTCTTCTGTCGATGTTCTCCATGAACCCCGCTCTGAAGCTGGCATAGATAGACAGACTATTCGGCTTTCCTTGGTGGATGAAGATCTCTGGGTAAGAGATGGTGTTGCATGGGTTTAGTCGTCATTACACATTTCTCAGGCCCCGATTCTGAGCATCATCCTTTCTTTTAGTGAGGACAACATCTAGATCAGAGTATATTGCTGGTTGCGTATGTTATCAAATGTCTCTGTAGTAGAAACAGATAAGAACACTGAAGACAGTTTGATTATTTGGACAATTGGACGGTTGCCTTGATTACATAAATACCTTATCGAAGCATGGCAGGCCGATGCTGCATAATTAGCATCCTACTGGTGGCCGGCGTGTCCCTCCAGACGGCAGCTCTGATGACCGTGGGTTGGCTTGAAACAATCGACATCCCATTTTACGGTGTCAGATCTGGCGTCTCAGCAACCGTGACCCTGTTTGGTATCGGGTTCGGCCTAGGCTGGACACCTTCATCTCCCGTTGTGGCTGCCGAGACTCCTACCACAGGTGCTACGATATTTCGCGTCCTCTCTTTCAAGGAACTTCAACTTCACCTTAGAAAGTTTCAAAATATTGAAGTTGCAATTCAACACCAGACCAGGAAACAAGAGGAAATGCAACAGAGTGAGGAGTTCGAGAAATACCTGGCCGATCTCCGCATCACCGACCCAGGCGACAATAAGAAGCACGTTTAGGAGGCTGAGGACGGTTTGCTTACAGACTCTTAAGTCTGGGTGCTCCAGAACTCCAACTTCTGCGAATGGCGTGACGACCAGAAACGATGTCGGTCGGCATTGTCAACCGGACAATTCTTCTTTGACATTTGCCCTGGAGAACGTGGGAGACGTGAAGCAAAATCTCCAGCAATGTCCAAGAGGAGGGAGACGTCCGAGAAAGTTCCGAGGACGAATGAAGTGATGGACGAGAAAAAGCTCCCATCTTCGTTTCTGTCCGTAAACGATACGGGAAAATAGCCATCAAGATGAACAAGACTCTTAGGACAACACCAAGAGGCGCACAAGCTAAAGTAGGTCACCACTTGACGAATTCGACAACCCGACCCTTCATCCATCGCCAACGAAATTAATTTATAATTATCCCTCGGACACTATCAGCCTATTATTTTCCTGCGCCTTAACTTTAGTAGAATTGCAACTGGTTACTTTGACCTTGAAAGACTGAAGTAATATAAATCCTCGCCGACAGCCATCGACACAAGCGTGGAGAGCTTATTTCGGTCGCTGGGTTTGCTACTTGTATTTGGCTGATAGTAGTAAGCCTTGGTTTCCACACAGTTCTACCAGGGACGAATGAAGCTTCAAGGCTGGGCAGTGCGACAGTAAGACATGTACGGGCGTTAATGGGGAAATATTATTGAGGCTAGTATAGATACGTAGATAACAATAGGACCCCATGGGAGCTTAGTCGGGCGTAATGCACTCCTCACGATAAAACAAGCATCTGATCATAGCCGCTTGAAGCCCACATTTAGGAGTAAGTAACTCGACAGAGCCAAAAGTGATGGATGGATTGAATGTCTCCTGGAGACGCCGTCAAAGGATGTCTGTCCAATCATCCAGGTTGGCTGCGACTGTGTTAGCCCGACTCTGTGTCTTGACGGATATATGGCTACGCACAGGTAATAAGTCTCAGCTCAACTAGGGGGTGTTATTATCCGTTCATTTGTACTGCGATAGACTCTGTTAGTTGCATTCACTCAGTTATTGGATTTTGCTGACTAAAGCTTCACATTCCTCAAGCATATAAGCAATTTGCGCACCTCACACTCACCTTACGCAGGTCGTCACAAAGAAATCACCATTTCACCGTATAACCGCCCTTACTGGTCGACTTTCACGTCCATCCTCCAAGACTTGGCGACGCAAAATCGAGACTGCAACTATTGCGCAATGACGCCACTAGAGCAGTATCGGCATATGTTAAATGAAATGCGCATTCTTAATCAAGAGCCCAGACAATTCCATACAGCCGAACACATCCCCATGAAGAACCGGGCGCCTGTTTTCGGCCTCACTACAGTCGACGACAATGCCTGGCTTGTCGGAGACCGCGCCCTGCTCTCTCGTCGCTATGACCAAATCTGGTCTACCCATACGCCTGGTCTTATCAGCACCTGGACCGCGTCCGACCAAGCCCACTACGCCATTCTGGATGTAGCTGGACCGCCACCGCCTTCTCGTCCATGGGAGCCGGAAGACGACCCGAAACTTGTTCATATCGCTGCAGGCGGAGGTATTGTCATCGAAGCCGGGGCTGACGAAGCCGGGGTGGCTCAGCTTACAACCAAGTGTGTTTACTCAATTGGAGATGTCTTCATCAAAATGCACCATACGATACACTGCGACTCAACTGATGAGGATGTAACTATCACGGAGTTACAGAGACTTCTTCCAGATCGAACATTCACACTTCCGAGCGTCCGTTACCACGCTCGCTACGATAACCGCTATTTCCTCATCACATCTGTGGTGCCTGGTCAAACAGCAGCACAGCTTTGGTGGGATTTAGATGATACAGTCAAGGATCGCTATGCAGCCCTCATCGCCAAAGCTTGTATCGAAGTTGCTACGATTTCTTCGGATAAGTTAGGCATTGGTATTGATGGAACTATTGCGCCAAATGGGCGTTTCGGCAAGTACCTGACGCGCAAGGACTTACCGAATATTCTTGCAAATTGCAAAGCGCTTAAGCTCGATGTGGAGCCCCCATTTCACCTCTTTCATGAAGATTTAGGGCCTACAAACGTCCTTATCGACACTCAGAACGAATCAATCGGTATCATCGACTGGCAAGCTGCTGAATACGTTCCTAGGGAATGGATCGGCATGAACTTTGCTCGTGCGATGGCCATGGTGCAAGACCCACCTATCCCAAGTACATACCAATCGAACGATTATGCTCAACGAGTTTGGAAAGCGCTGCAACGCCATGGTTTCAGTGATGATGGGAGTGTTTGGCTGAGCTGGAAGTGGATAGACTGGCGCGATTGATCTATTAGAACGGCTCCGCGCAGAGAGGCTAGTATGATAGAATACAAAGTCTCGTCACGGTTCAATGATATGTTAATAATGACATTAGTAGTGTAACGGGCTGGGCCCGTATGAGGCCTTGCTGGAGATCGCGGCCACGATCCACCCCTGACTAGGCCCACCACGAAATTCACGATGCCGACAGTCCGATGGCCAGTGCAATATGGCCCTGAACAGACCTGCGGTGAGGCGGAGACTTGCTGATTTTCCTTCTAATCCTCATCTGAGGATACTCGTAGTAGTCGCCAAAGCTACTTGCAACTATACTCGCGTTGGACCTTTACATTATTCTCAGACCCCAAACGAACACATCCTTCTAGGAGGCTGAGCGCGGACGCACCCAGTCGAGAGGGTCAGGTCAATCAACAGTAGGACGCCAGTCTCAGCGTTCTTCTTCCATGCATCGAACATGATCTTGATCGCCGCGTGTAGGTCTTTGATCTGCTTGCCCATTGTCAGGAGCAGCGCTTTCTCGTCATCCTCAATGGTCTTCACGCGTTACTTAACCAGGGTTACGACTTGAGTAGTGGTCGCCCGCCGGCCATAACCAGCAGTCTCGGTTTCTCGCTCCATCATATCTTCGGTTATCTCCTGGTGCGTCTGGTCAGTTGGACTTTTGCGGACGGTTTTCAGCCCCTTTGTGAAAGCAAGTCCTCGTCGCTCGCTACTACCACTTGCCTCGCAACGGTGATGGACGTCGAATATGGCTCGAGGTCCATCACGTCGGGACGTGCGCACATGCGTAGAGTCGACACGCGGTGGGTCGTGCTAATGCTACGTAGCGATAGACGTCGTGAATCCTCTCTTGTTCCCATTCTGACATGGGCGTAGCATGATCTGACAAAAGAACGCGGAGGTCTATTGGTGTTCTATCGCGTCGCGACACTCTGTGTCCTATCAAATGAATGATCTTAGAATATGGCTCAATATCGTCCTCGCGTCTTTCCGGCTGGGTATCGGCAGACGCGAGGTCGAGGGTCCGCATGTGTGAACTGAAAAGCATCGCCCGAGCTCTGGTTTCCAAAAGAAGAGGCCAAAGAGCATTCACCATTTGTTGTCTCGAAGTCAGGAACCCGGACAGGCTCAGCTTGTTCTTGCAGGCTTCAGAGAGTTTGAAGTCAGTCTACAATCCTATCAAGCAGAAGGAATGACTTACGACTTGAGAATCTTCCATCTGTTTCTGAGCGCCTGACGTAGCAGTCCACTGCTTTTCCGACTTCTTGTCGACAGATGTTTGGGCGGTTGCGCAGGTCTCTGATACAGACGGCGATGCATCACAGAGTGCGTGTGTTCCGGAAACGCTGGTCGTGAGGCAGCTGGCGCTCGAAAAGAAGCCTGGTAGCGCCACCGTCATCGCCGACTCGATCATCATGCTTTCACTTGTCCCGTAAGAAGGAGCTTGCGGTGCTAAGGAAGATAACGCGACCATACATGCTTATCGGGGCCAGTATCGTGTACAAGCTTTTGGTGCGAAGTACACAAACGTATTATCCACCTTATCCGTAGCCACGCGAGCGGGTCTCTTACTCGGTCGATATCAAATAGCTCGTGCTCAGTAAGAAGCTCTTTTGCGGGCCTGCTGCTCCCAGGGTCGTCAATCACTTGGGTCGTCAATCACTTGAGCGGAGACGATCAGCAGCAAGGGGGGTTGAGGTGGCCAAAGCTTTACTTGCTGGTCACGCAGCCCTGGTTGGAGTGTGAACATCTTGCAGAAAAGCAACAATCACGAGCATGGCGTCGGCCAAGCGGGTGCCGAGCGGACGTGATTACGGTAAGCCTAATCACGTTTGGTCATTCTCATAGAAGCTGTAGATGATTCTACGTGATTTGTCATCAATGCAGCTTCAACTTTTAAGTTAGCAGTCGATCGTGATTTACATCCCCAATTTCTGGCATTACCCCAGCCCCTTCCATTCTGGATTTTACAGAGTGCAGTAGAACAAGCTTGACTACTCACATGGCTTGTCATCGAAGGTAAAGAAGCGGCTCTTGGTCTTGGACGCATAGACGCCATAGTAACGCGGCATGTTCAACTCCTCGGGAGTCCACTCGACCGCGTTTACAGACAGCTCCAGAGAAAATACCTTCCAAGGCTGGATCTTGGTAATGGTATATATGGTGAGAATCAGAAAGGGTAGGTCTGACAACGGACTAATGAAGAAGAAGGTGCTTCATTACGTGTTTAGTTATTGATATGGCAGGCTGAGAATCGAGGGGAATGATGGTTGGTATATAGTTGTCGGTCTGCTCATGAGGTATATAGAAGCCATCCTGGCAGCATCTACTCACGCCATCTCCAGTTTCAATGGCGCACATGAGCTCAGTCAGCTCTCAGTAATTCTTCCCCCAAACCCTTGGCTTTATTCACTGGAACTATTAACCTGGGCGTTCGCAAGAGTTGAACATGTCCAAAAACTAGCTTGTCCCATCATTGGGGGCTATTTTTCTGAGAATACCAGCTGGAGGTGGACGTTTGGATTTCTAAATATTACCGTATATGCCGGTGCTCTTTAGCCTCCATGCAGGCTCCTCTTCATTGAAACTTGTTTCTGCTCAACGAGGGAGTTTTAGCCACAGTGGCCACCTTTTGTTTTCTTGAGGAGACCTATCCGCACCGCCTCCGGGAGCTTAAGGAAAGACGAGTGCGAAAGAATGTGGCAGACAATCCATCTTATCTACCATGTAGTGAAAACTTGAAGGGGCGAGGCTCAAGAAGGCTGCTTGAAGCCTTCGTGTTCAGGCCCTTTCGGCTTTTAACCCGTTTTCCAAGCCTTGTTGCTGTGTCTATATTCCTCGGCGTGAGTAAGAGTTACGTGTACTTCATGTTTACCAATTTCAGCGAAAACATACGGATTCACAGCTGGAGAGGGGAAGTGTTAACTACTTGGTTCTGAGTATCGGATGCCTACTCTGCCAGTACAAGGTCTACTTGTTCATGAGGTAATATCACACCGGCAACCAGGCTGAAAACGTTGGCGACATGGTGCAGCCAGAGAGAAACCTGCCGTATTCTAACTTGACAACGCAACTGTCTTAGCCTTTCCACATTGCACATGATAATCAAGCTGCTGGTAAACTTTTCCCTTGACTCCTTGTTGCTGCACGCGAATGCCTGGATGTCGGCACAGGGAGCGTCTAGTCCCAGGTCAGTTGTGAGATAGGATACTTCGTGCAGCTTCAAGGTCTTGAGGATCTGCAATTGAGCTGGGTGTGTGCGGGGTTTGGTGGCGAGTACAAGAGACTTTTGTCACCCAGCAGACCTGGTAATTTCACGCTCGCCAAATGGACGAGCTGGTCGGATTTGACCACACTGCGAAGAGTTGATGAAGACGAGCCTGCTATGCACCCCAATGGAAAAGGCCGACAGACTCCTTTAATATCAGCGCAATACTACTCAAAGCCTCGTGTGGGATTAGACTTAGGTTATGGGCCGGAGTACTTGTGAAGAATACGTGATAAGAAAAAAACGCAACGGCCGCCTCCACCACACGCTGCTTAGCGGAAGCCTTCAGTCTTAAAAGAAAATTGGTGGCGTACTGGAAGCATATGGGTATCATCACAATTAAGAAAGCTTGCAAGGGGTTTGAGCAAGTTTACGTCTCGAATAAGTAGAAGGAAGAAAACGACAAGGTATAGTCGCACAACCTGATCGACCTTAATCCTTCTAGTCTTCACCCGGCTCCTCCCTTCATCCAAACATCCGACAATCTGTTAACATGTCCAATACTTGTCAGGTCATGATGACGCCGTAGCTGCGACGTAGGGCAACTACACCAATCTGCCCTCGGGTCGCCTGGAGTCTCAGCTCATCAAGATAGCACTTGTTTACTCCACTGGCCTCACCACCCTCAATCTAGCGGTTGTGGCATTCATGCCCGCGAAGTGATTGAGCTCGGAGCAGCCTGGGTAGACTTTTTCAACATCTCCCCCAATCACGAGAAAGCACTGGGCCGCAGGAGTTTCGTCCAATTCCTTGAAGATGACGCCGCGTAACCCCTCTCGCACCTCGGTCTCGCGGAACAAACATGAATTTACGACATCGTGATGGGCATCTAATATCTTTTGCTTTGTCGACTCAGTCGATGTAGTGCAGGCCATCTTCTGTAATATTGTAGTTTATCTGAAACCTGGTTGTCGCTTTGTTGGTGTGCGTGATAATGACCCCTGGAGCCTTGCTCTCGATTGCGGTAGATATGGAGGCTCATGTAAGTGGGTTGAGCGTATCCCGGGAGGTGTTCGGTATCGCTGCGTGCTTTACATGACGCCGCCTATCGAGTTCGACGGTACATGTATGGAGACCATCTACTCAGGGTCCTCGGAGACTTGGGAGCTGTTCGGCTTTGACCGAATGGAGATAGTGCCGTGCCAAGAAGCGGAGACAATCTTATAAAATGACCCAGAATTCTGTTGGGTATTTGTCAACTGGCCTAATCTAGCATTTGTTATTGCAAAGTACACCGGAACACTACTATGGTAGTATGGGTAAGTTTAAATACCCTACCAGGTAGTGTGGGTCTGGCATAGGCAGAGCAGTGACTCTCAATGGCCAATTTTGTAATTGATATGTTTGATATATACGCAGATTTTAGAAATTTGCTGCTGATATAATCTCTAGGAGCATGGCTGAAGATACTTAATAGGGGGGTTGAACTTTACCTACATACTATAGTATAAGAGGTGTAAAGCTGTATAAGTGCAGAAGCTCTCTCATTCTCGAGAAATTGAGATATACTTTGTAATCAATTCGCCGTCGACTAAACCAGCACTAGGAGCGTATTCGCAGCAGCTTATATAAAGATTTGCCCGTCTCCGGCGCAATGACAGCTGGGACCAGCTGCCAGACTCAGTGCCGAGGCTATCACGTGCCGGTAACAGCCCTGTCATGATTGGGTGTCACATTAGCCCGCACCGTCACCGCTGACAGTGACTGGTGATTCCCGAGGTTACTCCGAGCCCGAACGTTTCGCGGATCATTATTATGTCAGCACGAAAAATGACCCGTTGCCCCGCCAATGCTTCCCGTCCCGTCCACAATGCTAAGGTACCTAGCTAGACATCGACAATCATACAATTATGCTGCACGATTTCAACATGTCATTTGATCTCCCAGCTTCATTTCGCGACCCAATCCGCGTGATGATCGTACAATCGTGTCGCTGCTGGACACGTCGACTATTCCCATGACCTCAGCTTGCCCATCTCCGACCCACCTTCGGTGCCGGAAACACGTCGTGTCCGCTTGGCTTGAAGACGTTGCTGCAGCCACTTCACCATCAGCGACACCGTCAACAGCAGTATTACCATTAGAAGACTTTCAACCTCAACCCGAGTACCATCTACCATCACCTACGCTCTCTCGAAGAGTCTCCACAGGATATGCACCACGTCAGCCTCAACGCTCCAAACGCAAGCGCAGCTCCGTGCTGGCTGACCGAAACCCAAACACTGCCATGAACCCCGAACCCTCGACGCCGACGAAAAGGAGGTCAAAACGGACGGCAGCGAGGCGCAAGCCAGATACTCAATCTTCAAAAACACAGGCGCCGTCTCCCCCGATCGATGAGCACGCAATCAGCGACGAGCACGACTTGAATACCAATCTCGAAGCCCGCCACGGTTCCCCAACGCCCAGGCCGAGAGCGCGCGTGGGCCGGAAACGGCTCGAAACTCACGAAAATGCCGACGATATCAACGAGGCTCCTTTGGGCCTCCAAGACCAATCAACGTTTCCTTTCTTACCTTTGCGATCTTCCTCCACATATGCCCTCGCCATTGGTGCCGGCGCTCCCGAGCTCCCTCACCCTTCAGACACGTCGAGCACATGGTCACGAAGTCCCGTCAAGGCAATGGCAGACCTTGGATTTGCACAACCACCCGTCAAAGTTGTGCCTCTGGAAAAACCTAACCAGATTCCAAGCGACATCAGACCTCTGTTCGACGCTATACAAGGCATTAGACTTGATAATGGCATTGTGCCGTCCGCAGTGGAAGAGCAATTCAACAACAAGGTCTTGGCTATAACGCCCTTCGATCCACCCCTTGAGGCGAAGAATATAATTACGGCCTCTACAACACGTTCCCAATTCCAGCTGCTGTTCGAACTCGAGGTCCTTAGCCAAGTTGTGCAGGAGACGAGCAAGGCCCTGGCCAATGATCGCGCCGAGGCCCACTGGAATGAACGTATTCACGCGCCATTGCTAGTCACCGCCGTCGAGCGAGACCGGGACGATAGCCGAGGGCCGCGTCAACCTGTTTAACTCGACGCAGGCTTGTATCGCCCCAAGCTGCATTCCTCGACATGCCCACGGTCTCAATTTCCAGGCCAAAATGGTCGACTACTGCATCGCCATCTCTAGTTCAGAAATCGAACAAGCAGCTCGCACTGCCGTCGCTGCCCAAGAGCAACGCCGTCCAAGGCTACGACGCGGCCACGGTGTAGGCAGCGGCGCCAGTAGTGTCAGCAGCGCGAGCAGCGCATCACAGTCGAATACTAGCAGCCCAAGGAAGGACAAGCAACCGCCACCACCACCACAGTCAATCAACCATACCGAATACGATCCTTTCCGTCTACAGCCCATCACCGTCAGCATCGAGACTAAGAAACCCGGCGGCGACGAGGATATGGCCAGGGCGCATCTCGGCGTCTGGGCATCGGCACATTTCCTCCGACTACACGATCTTCTGGGACCGAAGCGCCTTGGTGTGACTCTCCCGCTTCTTCAAGTCACTGGAAGCACATGGCAGATTCTCTTTGCTACAGAAACAGAGCATGAGATTGTGGGTCTTTGGTTCCGAAATCAAACTCTACCAAGGAGCATCAGCTAATATCTAGACAGCACATCTGGCAGTCTTTTCGTTTACCAGGAACGGATTCTCTCCTTGGATGCTACCGTGTCATGGCACTGCTGCGGGAGCTTCGGAAATGGAGCGAGACGACGTTCCACGACTGGTTCTTGAACGCCATAATGGAGGCCACAGCTAGCTGATGTTGGTACTTTGGCCAATCTCGCCCGACTGACACTATTCACCATATGCAGGTACCCATCAGACGCCAAGGACCTCAATGTAGGCAGTCAGAAGGCTTAAAGGATCTCGATTCGGATGACCACTCGAATTCGCCCAGCGGAAGCGATACGCCTCTTTGGTTGGTACGCCTATAGAATTATGAAATGACGGGATGATGTAATGGTAATGAATAAATTTTTGTCAAGGAGAAGGGTTGTCAGGCGCTGGGCTGCTGTCAAGCAATATGTCCCGTCAGGCAAATGTCACTCTTGACTCTACTGAAAAGTGTGATGCATGTTCAATCCATCCAGCTCTGACTTGCGTCCCCAACAGACAGCAATGCTACTCATCCATTTCACACCGGTCAAAAAGCACCCCGGAAATGGGTTCAAGAGCTTACTAGAGCATCATTTACCCTCAAGTCATGAAAACGTGCCCCCCAGTTGCCAGAAGCTCCTCCACCTTCTAAACAGCAGTCTTAGCTGGTTGGGCTATAGCTGTTCCCGGCTTGCTAGTGGCCATCATTAATTCCAGCAGTGCCTGGCTTCCGAAGCGAGGGTATATCCCAAGAGGGCCCATGAGCTGGCTTAGTGGACTGCACTGACAGACTACCCTCAGAAGTGCAAGCAGGACGAGGTGAAATACCAATATTATATCAATAGGAAAGCGGCCTTAATTTATCATTTTCGATAAGTTGGTATGGTATCCGCGGCTTGTAAAGAGGCCGTCTCGAAACCTCTGCCACCGCCACCTCGGGTTCGAAACAACGCTGCTCAACTTTTTCAGCCCGCGGTTAGATACAAGTGCCCCACCCATCTGCCTCGGTTATCTCTCATCGAGATCCCCCTGATTGCCTGGGCCATCCTGGGTAGCTGTTGCTGATGGTTTTGGGACTATTTTGGCAACGTTGTTGTTTTACTACCTTGTCTCCAATCATTCTATACCCCGTGTTGGAGGCGTTAGTCAAAATCATCGGGTTAGCTAGAATGGCTCCCAATGGAACAGCGACCGGATGCCGCGTTAGCGTTTTCATGGGCCAAGTCAGCATTCATTGGTTTGCGCCGTACATGTGCATAGCTTGTTTAACCTGGCCTATTGCTTGCCTGTTTTTTTTTTTTTTTTTTTTTAAAAAAAGTAGCATTTCGCTGAAGATCCTTTTGTTGGTTTACGTATCACAGGTGTGATTGTTCGGTTCGAACCGGGGTGACGAAGGGTCAATTAACTGTAAATTGATCTCTGCGTGAAGTGGAAAAGAGAGGTTACAACCGGAGGTTGGACCGTCAGTTGAACGCTGATATGGAGACCCTCGAGGTCGAATTGGGCTTCCAATCCGACACCTTTTCTTCTTGGTATGACCAGGCATATTGAGCACCCAACAATTGCTTTCCGCGACTCTTGCCTCTCGTATTTCTGTTTAATCCGCTTCTTTTCCTCACGATTGCTTCCCCCGCAGAAGCTAAATACCTGCCTCGAGTTGAGCTAGTGACATCAATCAATGCTTGGGCTGTCACACAAGGCTAAGCGTTCATTACCCGAAAGTCAACCACCAAGACTAGCGGCCGTAAAATCGTGAAGTATGCATGCGATAAATCTTAGAAGCCCAAAGCTACTGTTGGAAAAGGAACCAAGCGCAAGACAACGAATTGAGGTACTAGCTGCGCGTTTCTTTTCTTGGCTAGGGAATCACTCGACAAAACTAAATGGTCTTTACATTACCGACCAGATACACAATTTCGAAGTATAATCATTCGCCAAGTCATCATCCGTCAGCTCATCAAGTGCATCGCCAATTAGATGCTTCAGGCAAAGCAATTCTTTCAGAACGTGTGTCTGCCGGTATCTGCGCTACAGATATCCAGACATTTTTACGCAAGCAGGATCCTGGTTCATTGGCAATTAGAAAGTATATTTACAATCGGATTGCCAAGCCAAAAGATAATATGCATAAGGTTCAAAACTCTATTCATGCCGTGAGCAACCAATTGGACCGCCAGGGATTTCGGAGTCGAGTGCGAATTGATAAGAATCAGCGGGTCCAAAGCAATCTTAATTGCCCACCCTGGTTCAATTCAATATCTCCAAGCTTATTCTGACCTCCTGCTCTTAGAGTGCACAAATAAGACCAATAAATACCAAATGCCACTTCTTAATATGGTTGGGGTTGATGCTTGTCAGCGGTTCTTCTGCATCGCATTTGCATTCCCGTAAGTGGTGAGCAAGAAAAAGATTACGTCTGGGCCTTGGAGCGGGTCCCATCTCTCTGAGCTTTGCAACGCCAAGCTTCCATCTGTGGTTTTAACAGATCGAAACTCCGTCGTGCTGGGGATAGAGCATTGCAATTATTGCCTGATTTAATGCTCTTCATAAATCCTTCTTCGCCGCCGTAGATATATAATACGCGGAAGTACCTTCGAAACTCAAGGTCGCCTGGGTGACGGCCGTTCTTGTAGGAAGTATAGAAGAATTGTTTAAAATCGTGGTTTTTAGATGGGTATTAATACGTTAATATTTAAGATAGAGTATCACGTCCGTATTACTATGCGACGTAGAGGATAGGGGTCAGAAAGGGAAATCCTTTTGGATAATTATTATTATATTGATGACTAGATAGGATATAAGGATAGTGATGTTAATAGGTCAGAGGTTGGAGAGGAGGAGAGGAGAAGAAGAGAGAGTAAGGGGAAATGAGGAAAAGTAAATAATGGATGTGGGCGAAGGAAAGGGATTGTGTGGGAAATCGCAGGCTCTTGTAAGTGTGGGTCTTGGCGCGCTCCTTCCTTGGGAAATCTTTGAGATTTCACGATGGTGAACGAGAACGCGCAGCGCAAGCTCTTCGCAAACACCCCCACCCCCCACTCGTCCAAGACGAAGATCACTCCCACCGCCACCGGCAACATCATGGCCGCCGAAAAGGCTTCATACTATTCTTATTCTCGGCGGTTAAATTGACACTGCTCACCGTGGGATCTCTCTGAGGTTTGCAACGCCAAGCTTCCATCTGTGGTTTTAATAGATCGGTGTCTTGTCTGTATAAATGCAGTCACAGTGGTCTTTCCATTAGCAGAGCCATTTAACTTGCCTTTGACATGCAAAGGTTCTAACCCACTGCCTCCCATTATTTGCGCTGCAGGAGCATTCAGCTGCCGGTATTGTGGCAAAAGCAACAGCGGAAAAAAAGGATCCAAACCTGACGAGTGGGCAGCCTTTTATACCTTTTGGGATTCTATCATGCAATCTTCCACTGAAGCCGTTTTTGATGAACGTGTAGCGGAATTTGAGGAGAATTATCTTCCGAGTCATACCGAGGAAGTTACGTACATTAAAAAGACGGGGCTTGAGCCAGATAAAGAAAAACTTGTCAGAGATTGGGTAGGTCAACACATGCACTTCGGCAATACGGCCACCTCACGCGTTGAAGGTATCCATGCGTTATCGAAGCCATATTTCAAGACAAACAAATTTGATTTCTTTGACGTCTGGAGAGCCATGAAGCACGTAGTTGACGATCAATTGTCAGAATTGCAGTCAGCGCAAGCCATACGGCATACCCGGAAGTCGAAAGACCATTTAAATAGTGCCTGGTTTGGTGCTTTGCATGGTTGGGTTTCTCATGAAGCAATGAGGAAGGTCGAAGAACAACGGGGGCTATTGGAAAAGATCGACCCGCCTGTTTCTTGGTCTGTTCAGGGATCTCTACCCGCTTGTTTGGTCTGCCAAAGTCAAGTCATTACAAGACCAGCATAAAGGCCTTTGGCTAGATAACTTCCATCGACAATGGCGTCTCATACACAACGGAGTGCAGCTGCGACCAATTCTCGAGCCAGGTAGAGTTGATTCAAACATTCAGAACAGGCCATTCATTGTAAGTCAGGCATTCAGAAGGAACCAAGTGTATTTGACCAAGGACCTGATAGACCACAGCCTACCACGATCGACAACCATTTGCTACTACTTCTTCAGAGACCAACATCAGAACACCGTGAGGCAAGCTCTTTGCGCCCTGCTTCGCCAGCTCTTATCTCTAAAGCCGCTTCCGATTGAGCCTTTATCCCATACGAGGAACCCAACCAGTCTCATCTCAAATCTTGGCAGTCCAAAGATCGCGATGAATTTAATCCAGTGTACACTATAGATCAGTAAGCACTAATTACCTTTTTATAAAACTGAGTACTTACACAAAGAATCTATTTACTAGTTAGCAACTATTATTTGTCGATTCGAGTAACTTACCAGTCCCTGAGCCCCCTTCCAGTAACAAACATTACCATCTGCCTCCCAACAATTATTGCGTCCATTAGGGAACGCAGCGGCGTTAGTGTTCTCTCCATGGGTACCTGCCCCAAGTCCCTTGTCGACCATCAGCTGAGGTAATGTCAAAAAAGTCGATATCACATACGCAGAAATAATAAACAGAAGCGGTGTTCTCGCATTGGGCGCTGTTGTACTTAGCTGGCTTGGACCAGCCACTGTTTGTCCACCAATGGGGAGAAGCCGACGCCATAGAGAGGCAAAGGAAGAACGCTGGAAGCTTCATTATGCTAGCGAAGGAAGTCTTTTAGTAATAAATAGTTAAGCTGTAAGTAAACACTAAATGAGATGTCCTTCCTTAGATCGAGGAACTGATTGCTTTATATGAGTAAAGAAGATATTAAGGCTTACAAGTTCCATAAAAAGCCACGTAATATGGACGTGCCGTTCAACCGTTTTAATAGCTGAAAGATATTAAAACCCCCCTTGCGTGGGCAGGGGTATTAATAGGGGTATTAACAAGGGCCAATCTCGCCGCCGTTTCGACTAACATCGTCGCCACTGTGAGCAGTGTCAATTTGACCGCTGAGAATAAGAATAGTATGAATTTTGGGCTATGGACAGCACTTGCCGACATCACGGCCTTCCTCATAATCATTCCCGCCTCCTAGAGTAATGATTTGTAAGATATGGACTGGGACGCGTTCTATCCAGCGTTGGATTTGATTTAATAATAATTCTTCCCAGCAACGTTCTTTTTAGGCGCTATAGCGAAGAGGAAGAAGGGGCCATTATAATGGCGGATATTTGAGGATTTTGGTGTTTCAATAGAAGTGGCGGTATGAAGTGGAAGTTGACGATCAATTGGGGCAAGGCTGGGGGCCTTGTGGTTAGAAAGTAAAATAGATTAGTCTACGCCATAAATACAAAGTGACTAGCCTGATTGGGCAAAGCGCCCCTTAGGGCGGGATTGAAATGTACTAACGCTGACTCGCATCGATTATCGTCTCTGTACTCTTCAGCCAAAACTTTTGAACGGCACCTCCGTAGTATTACGACTTAACGTACATAATAAGGCCAATGATTTACCCCGCAGGCCTACGACTGCTACTGAACTATATGTATTATAAATTATAAGAATATAAGTATTTTACAAAAAAATAAAAAAAACTATATATAAGTTATAAATAATAAATAAAAACATTCCGTATATTTAATTTAAAAAGCTTATTTCTTGAATAATTATAATAAAAAACGTTAAGGTTTAAAAAAAATTAGTAAATTCAATACTTAAAAACGACAAGATTATAAAATTTGTTTATTATTCTTAAGAGTTTTTAAAATTGTGTATAGAATAAAAAAAAAGTTATTATTTAAAAAAAGTTTAACGCTTAGGATTAAGCGCCGAAGAGTTTACGCTTGTGATACGTAAACTAACAATTGACTAATCCTTAACTCCGTAGGGTTCAAATCTATAGTCACTATCGCACTGAACCTAAGATTTAATCTCGCGCTCAGTGCTTTCCTCTATCCCGGAAGCACTGCTATTTAGCCGGTCTTTATCCTTAGGCTCATCATAGTCTCTGTCGATATCTTCTTCATCAAGCTTCTCTTCTAGCCTTGTGTTAAACACGGAGGTCTTTGGTTTAACGTGTGTAGGGACTACGCTGTCTGGAGATGAGGTAGCGCTCTCCGCATCAAAGCTGATCGGCTGGGTGGTGCCAGTAGAGAACCGTTTCCGGCGCGGCGGGCGCCGTGGTGGTGTCGCGAGTAATCGAGGAGACTCCCGCCCTCGACGGCCGAACTCGGCGCCGTCATCTACGCCCTCTACGGCGTCAATAGGGCGTTTCAACTGCTGCGAAAATCTCCGCGGTGGGGTCTGCAAAAGGCCAAGACGGGTCGGTGTTCTTGCAGCACTATCCACGGTCTCTTCGAGAGGGAAAGACGAGAGCCGCTGAGGCGTCGCAGGATCGAGGATTTCAGTATTCATTTTGATGGCATTTCTCTACCAGTGCGGTAGAGCGGGTGGCTTTGTAGTAATCTCAGGTTGGTTTCTACGCGGTCAAGTGGTGGACTTGATTCGCGGTGTGCCGTGTCCAAATTTTCAATTGCGGCAGACCCCGAACGGCTGGCCCGGCACATTAGAATGACGTAATCAACAGTGAACAGAGCCCAGGCCCCAGGGTGACCGAGGGAGGGCCTGGGTGATCAAAAGCAGACTGGACTTGATTTCACTGCACTTCACGCCAACTGTGATACCCAAGACAAGCTAGCGCATCGAACGCCCTGTTCTCCTCGTTATCTTCATCGTTTAAATATTGGGCGGAGAAGAAATAAATATGTTAGAATTAGAATACTCAACAGCAGATGACGCAATCTTTGCATCAAGCGACTTGATTTAACAATCTCATTTTTCATATATGGTTTCCTTCAATCACGGAGATACTAGCTGCGTACATCACAAAAATTCTTGATGCAAGGTCTGTACGTTCTGGTTCTGTTAGAGATGTGGTGTGCGATCAAAGTAATACGGTGGGCAGCGGAGACGGCCATCAGAAACGCATGAGTCTTGCGCTAATACGACCTGCCGATACTCCGAATCTCCGGTGCAAGTGACGAGGCTTAATTGCCCACGCGGCGAAGGGAGAAAGGGAAGGAAAAAGACAACGTTTGACTGCCGTATCCAAAGTGGTGAAAGCGTCTATATTTTAGTCCAGAAATCATAGGCCGACCCAAACCAACCGGCGGGAACTTATTGGTCACACTCACACATCAGTCATGCAAACGACTGTCAGCGGTTAGGAAGGCCTGTCGCCAGCTCCAGCGACTCTTCCGTCGAGACAAATGTAATAAAGGGAAGAGAGTACTTTGTATAGATGGAGGCTGGAAATAGTACCTTACTGCAACAGGGTATGGTTTTGCTTGGGAATTCCCAAACATCCAGCAGTGACGTGAGTCCCGACGGCAGCGATGATGAGCGCCGGGGGAGGGGCAAACGTGACCTCTGTTCTACAACATTATGTTCATATGCATTGTCGATGAAAGAGATAATCCGATGAGCTCAGCTGTAGGAAGCTCTCCCGACACATAGACTGGTGTCTCTCCGTCGGCGGTAGTTTGTCTGAAGCGAAGACGTGGGATTGGGAGAGAAATTTACCCGGCAAGCTTTGAGAAGAAAAATAATCCCTATTCCAAGTGGTTGCCCTGTTCTCTGCGGTATAATACGGCAACTAAACGTTCTCTGCACGTTATTGAGCGGCAAACGATCTCTGCAGCTGCGTCATTGATGCAGCCAGTGCTTCGAATTCTTTATTACCACATTCCCATGCGTGCTGAGGACTACGAACTAATCGATGGGCCTCGCTTCCTAGGTGTCAAAAAAACAGGAATTGAGAACTTCTTTAGAGAGAACCCCGATTTGTAGCCAGACATTTTGTTGACATTGAGTTTCAACGTCTCGCGCTATCACATATAATGCCTAACAGCGGTTTTAAACAAGCCCGAACGCGATTTGAATACAAGTGAATGTGTAGTTGAAGCCTGCTGACTGGGACAAGTGTATTATCTGATTTGGACATCCTAATGCGAAATTTGACAATCACAATTAGGTCAAACGTTGGGGGAATGCAGCCCCCTTTTGCGGACTGGTGATAAACAAAATGTTTAGAACTCGAATACTATAACTAAGACTTATTGCCGTGGAGGTACTATATATAATATGAACATGGCGAGAAGTGCTGATGTTCCGTCCCTTTCTAATTTGCTAAAGACTACAGAATGGATGGGGGCCCTCCTAAATAACTAAAGAGGCATGTTCAGCAACTCATGAGAATATGGACCCTTCTTATTCTGACTTGTTCCGAAAAGTCAGTCCGCAGTGACTGTAGAAGAGCCTCTGAAAGAATGCAATCAAGGTACCCAGCGCCTCAGTTAAGGGCGGGAAGACGGCGTTTCACTTTGACGAGAACAACAGAGAAGAGTGTTTGATATATCCTTAATGTACAATGGACATCCCTTCGGAAGCTCGGAAGAGATGTCGGGGGTGCCCTTGGCATGTATCAAAAAGCGAGGTATCGAGCGGAAGGCATATATAATAATAAGGGGCTTGATTAAGCCAAGTAAAATCCTGAAGCGGGATCACGGATTTATTTGCCGTACGGAGCGGTCGTTCCGTGGTAAGCGGAGTCCGGTGGCAACATACTGAACGGCGCCACATGTGGCGCTGCGACACCATGAAATGATATGGCAGGGACGCAAACTGAAAAGCAAGATGTTCCCGAGCCATTACATACAAATAGGCCATCGAATACTGCCCCGCTGTTAGCGGTGCCAGCAGTGCTATTCGTTCGCATTGATGATCCGCTCTCATTGATCGTGTTGATGAGACTTGAGAGGAAGGATTCCTTATGGATTTTATTATTGCAAGTCTTATTGATCACTTTGAAGTCTTGCCTAGTAGTCTGTCGGCATCTACTAGCGATGGCAGCGAGTTTGACACTCTCAAGTCGACCATGCCGGCCTCGTCCCGGTGAGAAGGTTATCAGTCATCCACATAACCAAGGCCAGCGCGCACTCAGGTCGTCAGCTTTTCCACAGTGAATGTGCGACACACCCTATCAAGTTCTTTATGTAAGCGACTGCTGCTTGGATCGTCTGATAGAGTTTATTAATACTTAGTCCCGTCTTCGCACCTGGTACACCCAGTTTCCCTTAGTGCCTTTCAGATCAACAGCAGTGATCCGCCAAGGCTTGGTCTAACGGTGTTATCGCTTCTTTGGTCGTGAAATGTCAAGGTTAAAGAGAGCTATTCACACAGACACATGCGCGCGTGCGAGTATCTTGGTAATACTTGTCTTGTCATATCCCCTGGGATTTTTTTGCCGCCTCTATTCCCTCCTGTTGCAACCGATTCCTCGCTAGAAACAAAGCTAGGGTGTCGGGAAATTGTCTTCAACTGTACCCTGGGGCTCTATAGACTTTCAGCTACCAACACTCTGTCACATACGACCATACCCACTGGAAAACTCGGGATCCCGTCCGCTCTCCCATAGATAAGCCAATGAGGGCCGGATTAGTAGTTGGGTCGGTGACGACCAGCGAATGCCTGGTGTTGTATGTACCTCGTCTTTTTAGCATTTTGACCCCCTTGGTGATGCAGCTAGGCGACCCCAGGCTCTCTAGACATTTTCCAAGCGGCTTGAACGGAGGCAAACACTTGGCCAATAGTAAAAGTCTCATAGGTAGTTTAAGTGTCTTATTTTAAACCTGGTAGTGTTGGTTACCTAGGTACCTAATTAAAGTACCGATGTCTCTTTTACCACAGGTTCTTGCGGGAGTAGGGATAGTTGCTAGTCGAATAGGATTTAATCCGTGCAGTTTGGATGCGGATCAAGATCCATCTCGGGTTCGTGCACATGACACGACGCCCATATATACTCAATACAACGTGGCCAGAAAGAAACCATTGTTTCCACACAAGACGCGCCAGTACATCATCACCAGTCATCGCAACCTCTTCCGCTCATATTTAGTTTGTGACCACTTTATGCCACACACTATACATTACGACTGTACAAGACACGGGACCCATTGCAAAGAGCACAACGCCCCCGTTTTCAAAACATGCTCCCCAGCGTCAAATACAAATAAAAGATCACCACAAAGCCGTCGCGAATTCTCGCGCTTATGCTCACATGCCCTCTACCTCGCCCTTCGGTATCGCGGCCTCGTCTCCCTCACAGCCTCTCGCGCAGCCTTTTCCTCCTCCAAACGCTTTCCATCCTGGCTCTCACTGACTTCTACCGCTTCGGCTTCGTGGTTCAAGACTCAAACCGCGTCCGATAGTCTCGACACCAACGCATCAAAGCTTTCAAGTACACATGACTTGTTCCCTACCCAAGCCTTCCCATGCACCTCATGTAGTGTCGAATTGAACATATTCATTCGTTTCGCAGCCTCGTCGAGCCGTCCTACCACAGATTCTAGTGTGTGTAGCAAGGTAACGCGGCGCGCAAATAGGGGGTCAAAAAGATGGTTACGACGAATGCATATGGGGTGTTCTTACACAATTCACTCACGCTGTGTATTTCTTTTGTTCTCATACTTTTCCAACGCTTGAAGATACCATCACAGCTTCTTGACGCGCACCTCACACTCCACCGCCTAAAGCGAGTGCTTCTTCTGTCGGTCAACGACCTTGCGCATCTTTATCGTCACCGCCTCGACCGAAGCGAAGCCGCGTTGTACCCGTTGTGATGGCCAACGCTCATGCATATGCCACGCTGCCTAGTACTGTGGGTTACGTATCGTCTTATGTAAGAGACGACGGTCCTTCATTGACAAGTTGCGCGCGTTCGTCGGCAGTAAATGGCTGACATGGGTGGGGTGGAAAACCTGGACTAAGTACATGTACCTTAGGTGGTGATGGTGATGGTCGGGTGTTATCATCTTGGTACGGAGAAGGCATGAAGCGAAGACTGGCCACATTTCCATCCGTTGCCGTAATCGAGAGACGAACCGCCAATTCCATTCCAGATAAAGTACAGTACACCAGATCCCTTTCTCCAGACTTCCTTCTTCGCCGCTTCTAATTTCAGAATCCGAGACAAGCCCTCTGACCATTCTCATCCCTCAGACATTAGACAAAGGCATTCATGTCCCACCTTATACACAACAGCCTGGTTGTCCCGGCGACATGGTGATTTCATTTTTCAAAAATTAAGCTCCGCTCCGCAGTTCCCCACCCCTGTGATGCCTTGCTCACGCAGCCCGGGGGTTGGATCAGTACATGCTCATGTGGGTCATGTGGGTGAGCTTGGTGAAGATGGCCAAGGCTGTCGCTGCGTCATACAGGCTGGGCGGGCAGAGAACATTGTTGCCGAAGGCGATGATGATGAGGAGTAAGTCGGATCTTTGGGCTTCGTGGCCATCATTCTCGCTTGACCGGCTTGACGTGTTGGTTATGCACTGGGAAGCTGCTCTCAAATGAGAGGACGTTGCAACCATCTCACTAAGAGCCTCTTAAAGCAATGAACTCAACGCTGCTATGCTTATCGTCACATGCCCAGTTCTCTCTTAAATCCGTATCAGCATCTTCGAAGTTGTCTTCTGCCCTGACGTCACCTTTTCTTCTCGAAGGTTCGATCGCGTCGACAATATCAGTTAGTTGCTCTGCGTTTGTCCCCCCGTTTTTTTGCCCACTAGTCCTCTCATCCCTTCGACCTGACCGATGATGGACTCGGCCACAGTCTGAGACTCGCGGTCCTGGTGTTGCTTCCTGCATTGTGAGTGTGATATCATACAAAAGAAGGCAAGACCGTGCCGTCAATGCCCTCCAAAGTATTCCAAGAGTTGACCATAACTACTAAAAGGATGGATGACATCGGTCGGTCAAATACGTCCACGAGTGCAACTGACCAGAATATGCATTGATGGAAACCAGTTACTTCCCACCCCAGAATATGACCGAAATTATGACGTTGCTGTTTCTTTGGGAGACTTGATGCTTCTCCAAGACTTCCACCTTCTTCTCATTCTGAACTGTGCTGTGATCCAGAACCTTGTCGCCAATGTTCGATGGCAAGGCACACGTTGTGTCAAATGATCAATTTTCAGGCCCGTCGAAAGCCGGTAGACACCTCCGTGTTACAGACGACTTCGGCAGCGTGATAGCAACGTTGAGAGTTGACCTAGATTTCAAGCTTGCTCAACTCTGGGTAACGGGCCGTATCAATGAGGTTCTTAGTCTTCATCTCAAGGGGAAGAAAGCGCAGAAGCAAAAGCGGCAGGCCCGAGATGAACTTCAGGACTCATCAGAATACGCGGCCTATTGACGGAATGATGCCTTTGTTCATGCTCGTGAACATGTGCATTTGCTGCTGCATAGCGAGCAGAGTTGGAGGCAGCCCCATGGCCAATTCCACGCCCCGTGGGCTTATGGCTTTCAGTATTCATGGAGAGTTCCAGCAGAGTTCCAGCAGAGATTCTGGCAGATAGGGAGCTTGAATTGAGGCCCTCTGCCGGAGGCGTTTGGACGATCGAGTTCGCTCGTGCTGGGAGATCTCGAAGTTTGCAAGTAAGTTCGCGTCTCATGCGGGATGGATGGAAAATACGTCGTTGGAGCTAAGGAAAGGCCTGGAGTCGGGACGTCGGGAAGCCCACGCGGCCAGCGCGTGATGTTAAATATGCAGCTGTTTGATAGAGTTATAGATAAAAGGCTGGTATAAGAAGCTATTAAGAATAAGGTAGTTAACATAAAGGTGTATCCGCTTGTGGATAATAATGCATTATATTAATGCATTTACTAGTTAGGCACTGTCTTACAATCTTAATTTTGGTACAACCTTAATCGCCTGCTTAGTCATGGCATTGACTTAAGCTCTTTAAGACTTTGGTTTTCGGGGCTTAGACAGACGTACGGACGAGGGCTCATCCAATTGCAGACCGCCAATGACAGTGCGTATACACTTTTTCGCTCCAACTTGCCAATCTTGGGATTGGTAGCCTTGGTAGGAACGTCCGCATGCTAACGGCAGGCCTTATTGTTGTGAGTAAGCTTGAGTCACTTATCTTCCACGCCACGAGAACTGTTGATAACTTGGTATTGCTCTGCACGTCGTTATGGGTCCGCATATTTTTCGAGGTGAACCCCGCTCAGATCACGGTGCCCCTCACCGGCCCGGCCATCCGAATGGGCCGAGCGCTTAAGGGCCGGGCGGGACTGGCCCATGCCCGCTCTGCCACAATACCCCACCTGGCCGTCCCCACCCCGGTCGCACGGTCCCGATCCGGCGCTTATGAGCTTCTCGGAGACTAGAATCAGAGACTTCAGGGTATTTACGCGCCGGAGTATGCGTAATTTTTGTCTCTCTAGTGCGCCTGCTGGCATGGGAGGCAACAATGAACTGGTGCTGCCTTAGACATCCAGACGGACCCACTAACGAGCGACCTTTCCATTCAATAGGCAAACTGGGATCGAAGCGAACAGGGGGACCCCCCGGATATATAATCACTTCCTCCTCCCCCTCCACTCCACGTCCTCCTGCATTCCCCGCACCCTCGTCAAGCAAAGGAGCAACTCCAACACTGATCCATCACATTATATCAATCAACATGCCGCTTCGCGAGACCGACCCAGATTTTGAGAGCGACATCTTCAAAAAGCTCAAGGCAGCGTTAAACGCCAAGTTTGAGGTTGCCGAATACGAACCCCCGCTGCCGCTCCTCCTCGTCGATGAATATGCGCCGAAGCAACTGCTGTGCCATGAACCTACCGAGGAGACCATCGCCATCAGCACCCACTTATCGGCGCGCATCCATGCCTATTACGAACAGCTTGCCGCCGCCTACAACGGGATCGAAGATCCGCCAGCCAGTATCGCCATTGAGCTCGAAATCCAGCCGCAGGAATTTGACCCAGAGGAGCCGCGTTGCCACCATCGCAGGTATCACTCGCGCCGCCTGCGGCTGCACGACCCCGAGACACTGCCAGATCTGCCCTTTGTGAACAGCCTGGCCATCAGGTCAAGGGCGTACGGCGGCGCCGAGCTCGCGACAGACATACGCCCTCTGTCTCCCCTCGTGCCTCTGCAGTGCCTCATCCACCTGCCGGCCGTCCAACAATGGAATGCTCCCTGGTTGTGGGAGCGGCCCATGCCCGCCGTCATGCCGAGTAGGGTAATGCGCGAGCACTATAACTGGCCGTGGGAGGGCCCTCTGCGAGACGCCCGCCACGAGTTCGGCGCCGCTATCATGGACCAGGAGAAGCACCTCTGCGGGAAAAGGATCCCCGCCACTCTGGCCAGGGTCGTACTGCACTTCTGGACCATCTTCCGGCTCCCCAAGGATGACCAGTCCGTAGCCCGGCCAAACCTAATCCATCCTGCGGACAAGGACCTGGTGTCTGTCGGCCTGTGCAGGCTTGGTGCGCAGCTGAGCCTGTTCGACGTGCGTGCTTTGGTCACTTCAGACCTGTTCCCTAGTCCCGAGGCACCAACCGACCAACAGTGGTCACAGATGCGGCGGTTTCGGCTTGAGTTCCATTCCCTCCGTCCGGACGGACGGTGGTATTTTGTCGGCCCCGGTGGCGAGGATCCGCACGACTCTGATCAAGGAGGGTACCAGATCTCATCCATAGAACACTACCCCCGCGAAACCGACACGGAGGAGGACGAGGCCCTACACAAGGAGTACGACAACAACGCGGCCGACGAGTATGAACTCGACCCAAATATGTTCCGCACCGAGCCTTGTAGGGAGCGGATCGAGCCCCTGCTTGCGGCGTTCGCAAAGTCTCTCACTTGCGATAATATGCCGAACCTCGAGGACGCCGAGGTTTTCACGCACGTGTGGTGGCAACCCTCAGACGAGAGACTAGAGGAGAAATACGGTTTGCCGATGAAAGAGGGCCATAGATGGGGTGTCAAGTTCATTGCCGGGCATGGTGGTGAGGAAAAGCAGAAGAACGGCGATGCTGCTGCTGCGGCAACGACACCACCGGTGGTGCAGTGGCAGGTTGGCGACTGGAGACCCAGCGAGGAGGTCATGAGTCTGTTTGAAAGCCTAGGACGGCAGGAGTGGCTCGATTTCGAGTGGACTAAGTATAGACCTATGGGGGGACACGACTTGCTGGGAAATCCCGACTCTGTACCTATATAGTCGGGTGGGCAACCAGAAATCTGTTTAGGGATCTGAGAATAAGTGGTCTGATGCCTTTCAGAAATAGGTGCCTGAATATGCGATCGCAGCAGCGCGGAGGGCGGGAACGTGTGCTCATCATCACTAAAAGATTCGTCCCGAAGAATTCCGCTTATGGTCATCTCAGCAGATGCTTAAGATAAGCAGTATAGGTTTAGGAGGTGTCAGTAAAGAGAATACAAGTTTCCGTCATAAGTTTGCACCAAGACGAATTTATCCTAGAATTTACGCAAAATGGGCAAAAGTTGCACTATGCAGGTAATTGCCCGTCATTCAACCACCCGGGCTCTTCTGGAGCGACTTTAAGACAAACTAGAACTTTTTTTTACACAAGTGCCACATCAGCCGAGTGCTTCTGGTTGTCTTTGAAATTAATGACTCTGTATTTTTTTACCTGCTTGATAGTCCATCCATATTAGACTGACATGCGACCATTATGACCACCAGCGGAGTCCTTGTTCATGAGGAGAAACATGATCTTTTAGAACATTGTTCTTTTTGGGGGAGTTTGTCGTTTAGACACTTAGCAGAACACCTGTGATAGGATCAACCACCCTGGAGGCACTTTTGAGACAATTCTCACGCGTTATCAAAATGAACGAGAAATTTACAACTTCAATTACAGAAAGAAACCATTAATTTACATTACTCTCACTCGGAGCTCTGCGAAAGTATGGATTCCCCACCTCCGCGAAGCATTCAAATCATGTGAAAGATCCTAATGGTTGTTTCTAGCTAGAAACGCCAACGCAGTAGGCCTGGCCAAGCCAGAAGTTTGTTACGCAATCCCTTGAGACGGCAGGGTTCCAGTTGTAAAACTGATCAAGTGTGATACCGTTGTCACTGGCCATAGACGCACAGCCGTCGCCGCTCACCACGACATCCCACTTGTTACAATTGGCCGGCTGGCCGGTGTGTGTCGGCGCGGGTGGCGTCGGCTTCGCTGTCGTTGCTATCGGCGGCGTCGTGGTAGGGCTACCCCCGACACTAGATCGGCCGACGCAGTAGGCCTGCCCCAGCCAAAAGTTTGTTACGTAGTCCTTGGATACGGCCGGATTCCAAGCGTAGAACTGGTCTACGGTAATACCGTTGTCCGAAGCCATGGATCCGCAGCTGTCGCCGCTTACCACAACGTCCCACTTGTTGCAGTCTGACGGCTGGCCCGTGTGTGTCGGCGCGGGAGGGGTCGGGGCTGCCGTCGTAGAGGGTGTAGAAGGTGACGTTGTCGTGACGCCGGAGTCAGCCCCAGATACGCCGACGCAGTATGCCTGCCCCAGCCAGAAGTTGGTAATACAGTCCTTGGACACAGCGGGGTTCCAGGCGTAGAACTGGTCGACCGAGATGCCGTTGTCGCTGGCCAGGGAACCACAGCTATCGCCTTCTGCCACAACGTCCCACTTGTTACAGTCGGAAGGTTGGCCGGTGTGCGTCGGAGCCGGGGCGGTGGGCTTGGCCGTCGTCGACGCCGTGGTGGTCGAAGCAGACCCCGAGGCCGTGATGCTGATGCCCTGGCCCTCCCTGTGTGTGCAGTACGCTTGTCCGAGCCAGAAATTGTGGGTACAGTCGTCGCTGACGGCAGGGTTCCACTCGAGGAACGTCGCAAGGGAGATTCCGGCGTTGTCAGCGACGGACTGGCACGAGTCGCTGCTGATCACGACGTGCCAGGCGTCACAGTCTTCCGGCTGGCCCTCGTGCGTGGGCGCTGGCGGCTGTGGCCCGGTCCCGGTCCCGGTGGGCTCGGGCTCCTCGGAGGTGGTTTGTGTGGGTTGTAGACCCTAGGAGCCGCAGTACCGCAGGCTGACCTGGAACACGCATGCCGGGTCCGTGACGTTCGTCGCGAGGGAGTTCTACGCGACGAAGCTGTTAAAGTCGACGTTGTAGTTGGACGCAGCAATCTCGCAGTTGCTGTTCCAGTAGCCGAACACGTCAGGCGAGTATTGATACTCATCGCCCTTGAAGTAAAAGACGTAGTCGTCGCGGACGCCGGGGGCCAAGGGGAGCTCGGTCGGTCTTGGATCCAGGGTCATGGTGGCGTTGGGCAGCATGGTGAAGGGGACGCCGGTGAAGGACTCGTTGGGGTCAATGGTGACGGAGGCATATCCGGGACGGCCGGGATAGTTGTTGATGTCACCGACGGCCTTGATATAGTAGCTCTCCTGGGTAAAGAGGTTGGTGTAGTTAGAGTTGATGCCCGTGTTGAGGAACATGAAGTCTTCGAGAGAAATGGCAAACTTGAGAGTGATTAGGTTGCAGTAGTCGCTAGCCTTGACCTTGTACCAGCGGCCGTAAGGCTTGTCGGATCCAATGGCGGTATTGGAGGGGATCGGAGCAGCAGAGGTAGGCGTCACCGGAGGAACACCTGTCGTCTGGGCGGGTGGCAGCTTGGGTCCGGGTGGTTCGATGCAAAGCGTGGTGCCGTTCATCATGTCGAGGTTGGAACAGACCGGGTTGATGACAGGATTCCAAGCCAGCAGCTGTGGCTCTGTGATGTTCGCAGCAGTAACGATGGCTTTGCACGTCGTGTTGACTGCCACCGTGACAGTTTTGCACGTATTGGTGATGCAGAGACTACCCGAAGTCGGGAATTCGTAACAATAAGCACCGAGGTGGTTGTCAGACAGCATCCAGGCCGTACCGACACTCTGAGTCTTGGAGATGCTGTAGCAATCATCACCGCCCTGTATCTGGTACATGGTGCCGTCGCAGACCGACTCGGTGGGTTCAGGCTGACTGGTGAAATAGTCGACGGTAGATGTGGTAGCAGGCTTGCCCGTGATGCCATAGCTGGATGTCAGGGTCTGGTAGATGGACTCGCTGGCCACGACGGGGCCGTCAAAGTAGGGCGACCCAGATCGCAGGCGCAGTCTGGCTGCGAGACACGGGTCACAATCCGCGGGCTGAACGGCGCCCTCGGGAAGTTCGTTGATGTAGTTGAAGGCGGAAACTGGCAAGCTGTTAGTGAAAGTGTGCTAGCAAGTCCGCATTTCGAAATTGGTCATCACATCATGTCGAAGCCCGTTCACGGAACGGGAGACTCACCTCCAGGATTGGTGAAGAAAGATGCCAATGCCGCAACAGGCCCACAGAAGACATCATTCTCCTTGAGACACGTGAAGCTATAGATGTACCGGAGGCTGGCCGGGATCACAATCGGTGATGCGTTAAGGTCATACTCGTCAGGAATAACAATGTCGTTCCCACAGGCAGACCGGACGGAGCTCTCCCACGACTCGAGCGCAGAAGCGCAGCCAGCGGTACACGTGCGGGTCAGCGTGGCAGTAGGGTAGTAGAAGTCATGGCGGAGGGCCGGCACGAGAGGATCGCAAGCAATATCAGCCATGAGGGCCGCAGAACATGCCGCATCGAGATCCTCGGGAAGACTATCGTCGTAGAGCATCTTGACGGCAGAGACAGGGCTGGGGCTCAGGCTCAGGCTCAGTCTCAGAAAAGCCCCGAGCCCAAGGGCACAACGTCGGGAGGCCACCATGATTTGATGGATCGTGTTTTCCTGCCTCTCTCACCAGGAGTTAAAAGAATGAACAGGGAGGGGACGAGACGAGCACATCCAAACAAGGGACGAAGGAAGTGTTTTGTCTACCCAGACACAAGGAGGAACAGGCGAGCGTAAGAGTGATAAGTAAGTCAGAAAGTGTCAATGACTCCAGACCAACGGAGATGCAGAACAGCTGCCTACGGCCGATGGGAAATTTGGTTCTAGGAAGTGCAGCCGATCTAACTTGTCGTCGTCCTATCTGAGACGAGACGAGACACAACCAAGCAACCGCCCGACGCGATGCAAGAAAAAGGGTCACAAAAGTCCACTTTCAACATGTCAAGGATCATCGGTCCAGAACCCGAGAGCATCCTAGGATGTTCTAGGGTTGAAGAAATATCTAGGTACTGTACTAAGGCTACGCAATCTGCTAACACCTGCCTAAATGATTCTGGTCTGGTGATTAGGTGAGATTATCATGAACCCTTACGTGAGACGGGAGGAAACCATGGAGAGTGGCGTACAGAAGCTTGTTCACAGTGATCAAGTGAGGGAGGTGAGGGAGGCCAACCGTCACCCAGTCGTTAAAATTTAAAAAAAAAAAAAACCCAAAAAAAGGCCGCATTTTGGTCGCGACCAATAAGAAAACTGGCCTTTCTTCCACTTCCGGAACGGACCGTTGACCTTCTCGCCGAGACAGGGGCTTTAAATTGCCTCCATGCGGGGTTCATGCAGAGCTTAATGGAGCGGTCCGCTTTTTAGCACCAAGAATCTGCAGCAGTAAGCACGAAATCACATTGAATGTCACTCTGACCGGACCTTTTCTACTGAAGAGGCAACAATGACTAGGTATCTTCAGACGAAAGTACCAAAAAAATAGGACGATGGCCTTTTAATATTGACATCAGACGATCAGACCCCTGTTATCCCTGCTTGGCAGCAGAGTGCATCAGAGCTAAGCCCTCGCCGCCTGGGCTCAGCCTGGCCTCCGGATCATGTAGGGCAAGGGGATGTAGATTTGGCTGGTACCGGGATCGTGACTGGAAGTGGGGCTGGGTTGCTCTAGAACACTATCTACTCCGTAAGCTCTCTTACCAGGCAACGCTCTTCACGCTGCGAATACTCTCTCTATTCTCAGTCGGCTTCCCTTAAAGATATCTGGGCCTGCTGACTTGGTTTTTTGCCTTTGCAAACGCTCTTTTCCTTGCTGTCCTTCTCAACTTTCCAACCCGGTTCACTCTCTCATCGGGGACTACATTCTTTTGATTATCATTCTATGTGTTTCTGGGTACAGCTCCTAAGAACTCAGCCCTAAACGCAACAATGGGACCTTGGTCCTATCTCTCGTGGAGCTGTGTGCTTCTATCGACTTTCATTACCCCGTCTCTTGGAGCAGCCATCACGGCAAGGCCTGGTAGCGCCAGCTCAGTTGTGGTGCCCGAACTCCCTAACACGTGCCGCGCCGACATCTCGTAAGTAAACTTTCCTCAGCCATGTCCGATAACATGGACCTAGACTAGTAGAGCATGTTGTGCTGACTGGGTATGGAAATATTTTAGACCCTTTGATTACTCGGCCAAGAACCGTTATGACCATGAGCTGCCAGTCTGCAGTGCTGACAGCCCCGGTCTTGTCGCTGCTCACGACAACAGCCGTGTTGTTGACGCCGACGGGCGCGAAATCGTCCCTGCGTCACTCGAGACCGACGTATCCCTCGTAGGACGCACCGAGCTTTCTTCCCTATTTGGGAGACAGGTAGTCGGCGGCGATGACTACACCTGCGGTCCCGACCGTCCTTGCAAGAACAAGGCTTGCTGTCCCAAGGAGACTGGCCAGTGCAACTACGGCGAGGAGTAGGTCCTCCTTTTCTCCTTTTGCCAGTCGTTTTTCTCGTTGAATCATGTCTTTTCTTGCGATTCTTCTTGTTCTTGCTATTATTCTGGAATCTGGCTAATGTGTTCGTTTCTCTCTATCGTAGAGCCTGCGGCACATCTGGAATCTCTCCTAATGAGGTGTGCTGGTCTAACTGCGATGCTAAGGCAGAGTGCGGCAAGAACGCAGCCGTGCCTGGCCAGAAGTGTCCCCTGAATGTCTGTTGCGGCAAATGGGGTTTCTGCGGAATGACAAGGTATGTACACGTGCAGAATATGAAGATGCCTTCGGAGTAGAACAGTATTAACTACTGTGAAAAATAGCGACTTCTGTGACAAGGAGGACCATGGAGCCACTGGCGGTTGCCAGTCCAACTGCGATCAGCCAGGTCCCAAGGACAAGGCTTCCGATCAACTGAATCGCGTTATTGGATACTATGAAGCATGGAGACACGACTCTAAGTGTCAGGATATGGTAAGTTTCCTAGGCTTCCTCGCAACGTGTATGTCCCACTGACCGCGAGACAGGGCTTGGACGACATCCCCGTTAACTCCTTAACTTATCTGTATTTCTCTTTTGCCTTTATTATGCCGGACCTTTAGATCGTCGGTATGGATAACCTGCCCGATAAGCTGTTTACCGACTTTACTAACCTTAAGAAGAAGAACCCCGCCCTCAAGATGGTTATTGCTATTGGTGGATGGATGCATAACGACCCAGGCCCTTTGCAAAAGGTGTTGAGCGATATGGTTAGTATTAAGGCGAACCGTTCCAAGTTTATTAGCAACCTCATGTCCTTCCTCTGTATGTACGCCTTTGATGGTGTCGACTTTGACTGGGAGTACCCTGGCGCCGACGATCGCGGTGGTGTACCCGAGGACGGTGAGAACTTCACTCAATTCCTTAAGGAGCTTGAGGAGGAGAATAAGAAGCAGCCGGTCAAGTATATTGTGTCCTACACAGCGCCGACGAGCTTCTGGTATCTGCGCCACTTTGATCTCAAGTCAATTGACTATACCGACTTTGTCAACGTCATGTCATACGAGTAAGTGCCTTTTCTTCTTCTTTTCTTCTTCTCCTGTACACAGAAACCCCGACAGTCACCTTTCTCGCACTTCGACTAACCATACGTACAGTCTTCACGGTGTCTGGGATCGTGATAACCCGATTGGGTCTCACATCTACGGCCACACCAACCTGACTGAGATGAGCCTCGCATTTGACCTCTTCTGGAGAAATAACGTCCCGGCTAAGAAGCTGAACATGGGTCTCGGTTTCTATGGTCGTGCGTTCCAGCTGGCCGATCCGTCCTGCAACAAACCCGGCTGTCTCTTCAAGGGAGGCGCTACCAAAGGAGCTTGTAGTGGCGAGTCTGGCATCCTGAGCTACCGCGAAATCCAGGAGGTTATCAAAGTCAACAAGATCAAGCCCGTCCACGACAAGGAGGCCGTTGTCAAGTACATTACCTGGAACACTGACTAGTGGGTGTCGTTTGACGACAAGGAAACTTTCAAGCAGAAGAAGGACCTCGCGGCCAAGCTCGGACTTGGAGGCTATCTGATCTGGGCCATCGACCAGGACGACGCCGAGATGTCTGCTCTTGCTGCCGTCCTGGACCCCAAGCCCTTGGGCGACTTCAAGTCGATTGACAAGGGTGACGACAACTGGACGGGCACCAACGAGATGTGCTACATCACGAGCTGCGGCGTCACAGACTGCAAGGCGGGCGAGATTAAGATCACGGACCAGAAGTGCGGTAAGGACAAGAAGAGCGCTCTCTGCTGTCCCTTGTCGGGCGCCCCTGACCCCAAGTCTTGCACCTGGCGCGGAGGCGAGACGAGGTGGTGCAACGGCTACTGCAAGGACGACGAGGTGATGACGCACATGAGCAAGTATGGCGGCGGCCACGACTGCTGGGACGGCCAGATGGCGCACTGCTGCGAGAGCTCCCTGGGCGAGAAGAACATCTGCAAGTGGCGCGGTGTTGGCGAGAAGTGTCACAGTGGCGAGCTGCCCTTAACATTCTCCGGAACCGTCCTGGACATCCTCGACGACGTCGCCAAAATCATCTTGCGGGTTGTCGGTCGCGCCCACCCGCTCGCGGCCCTCACCGGTCTAGTCCTGCTTGAGGTTCTCGACGAGCTGGATATTGACACCCGGAAGCTATACTGCTGCCCCGAAAAGGAGGTTGAAAAGTGGAAGAACTGCGCCTGGTACGGTAAGCCCGGCAACTGCTTCGACGGCCACTGCCCGGATATGAAAACGGTGCAGATCACCGACTCGTACTTTGGCGGTAGCGACAACTGCGGCCGCCACTTGACTCGTGTCCGCACCTTTTGCTGCGAGTCGGACGGCGAGCCCCTTTTCCTTCCCGTGGACCTCAAGAACCTTTTCGAGCACCCACCCGAGGGCGGCTCTGACACGGACTTCACCCTCAAGACGGACAAGACGTCGGACGGCGGTGACGATGACCCCAACGATGCCGCGTTCCAGTTCGTGGTCCTCGTCTCGCCCGAGGCGCTCCAAGTCTCGCTCGATAAGCGCGACGGGTCCCACTGGGACGTCTTTGACTGCAACGACTCGGTCTCCGAGGGGGAGCACACGGTCCGCATGGTCTGCAACGACCACACACCGGACAGCAACTGCCACAAGATCGGACTCGGCCACGGTGTCCCGGGAACTATTCTACAGATGCCTAAGGGCTGCGGCCCGGGCAAGTATGCCGTCGCCAAGAGCATGACACCGGCCCCTGGCAGCGACCACACCAAGCTCCTACCCCGTCACCTATCCCACCTCGCCGCCCTTGAGCCTGTCGTCTACGACTTGACTTTTGACTACGATTTCCACCGCGTGCCGCGCGACCTCGGCAACACCCAGATGCGCATCGACTACAGCAACCAGGATGACTACTGGAAGAACATTGTCGCTGGGTCCGTCAGCCGGAAGCGAGACGTCCACGGCCGTAAGAGGTTCGCTAAGCGCACGCTTGAAGACGTCGGCGGCAACCCAGCGCGCTGGCTCGAGGAGGAATTCCGCGATGACTTCTACTTTGATAAGATTGCCTTGCGGGACCTGCACGAGCGGTGGTTCGGCAAGAGCATTCTCGAGTGGCTGGCGGCCCTCGTGAAACCCGAGATCAAGCGCGAGTTCACGCACAAGTACGACGACAGCGTCACGGCAAAGTTATTTGACGAGTCGTGGAACTGCCCAGGATCGGTGGAGGGGGTCAACTACGACGGCCATCTCCTCGGCCAGGCCGTCCTCGATATCGAGGTCGAGTCCAGCTTCGGCTTCACCCTCATCGTCGAGAGTCTTACCCTGCCCCTCAACCTCGACCAGAGCTACTTGACCTTCTACAACAAGGGCAAGGTCACCGGTGTAGTCACCCTCGAGGCCCTCGCCCGCCTGAGGTACGAGAGGAAGAAGGTCATTCTCAACTTGCCATTCCCCGGTGCCTCGTTTAAGATTCCCGGAATCGCCACCATAGGCCCCGCGCTCACCGTTGAGGGCAGCATTGACGCCTCCCTCGGCATGGCTGGTTTGATTGAGACCAAGCTTGAGATTGCCAAGTGGGAAGTGAGTAGCAAAACCCGAATCCCAGCAACGAGCCCCTTTTTGCTTCTTTGCCGCTCATGCCCCCCCCCCCCCCCCCACCACACAAACACAAAACACACACACACCCCCAACTCCCCTCTCCATCCTCCCCCCCCCCCCCCCCCCCCCCCCCCACCCCCCGCCCCCCCCCCCCCACAACAAAAAAAAAAAAAAGACCAATTGCCAACCGCTCATGCTTCTTTCTAGGTCCGACAAGTCATGCCCGACACCAGTGACTATAAGCCCGAGCTCATCGATAACAGCAAGCCAAGCCTCGATCGCACGGGCGACTTCTCGGGGATCCAAAAGCCCGAGTTCTATGCAGGCGTCACGGCGTCCGGAGATGTCACCTTCAAGCTGTCGGCCGCTGCCGAGTTTGGCGTTCGCTTCGTCGACAAGTGGGAGGTTGACCCGGCGGCCGCCGCAGTCGTGGGCGAGGTCAGCCTAACGACCGGCTTCAAAGCGGGCCTCTCGACCACGGGATCGTGCCCCTTTACCTACGGTGTCGACGTCGGCGCTCGTTTATTCGCGAGAGCAACGGCGCCCAAGGTGTTTGGCTGGGCTGGTGGTGAGGTCGACCTGACGGACAAGTGGAAGAAAACCGTCATCAAGAGCGGCACTTGTCCCGATCTGGGCCCGATACCTTCCAAGAGAAGTCTCCGAGGTCTCGGCCACCCCCTCATCGAGGGCCGCGCCGAAGACAAGGACGTGACCAGGAATATGTCGAGGTACCGAGCTGCCGAGTCCGGTGCCTACGGGGCCCTTGATGTGGAGTCCATGCACAGCTCCGGCGCCGGCCTGAGCACGAGGGACATCTCCGGCGCGCACATGTCGTCCCTGGTCAAGAGAGGTGGTGTATACGGCCCAGCCTTCAGCATCCCCGCCGGCAAATTCTTCTGCCCTTCTCAGGACAGTGAAAAAGGCACCACGTGCGAGGAAGCATACGATTCCATGGCAAAGAGCAACGAGGGCGGCATCTGGACAGATGCAAAAAAGCGCAAGAGGGAGGAGCTGACGCCGACGTCCACTATTGATGAAAACGCCATTGCCGCGCATTTCCATGTTCATCAGCAGCGAAGTGGTCGCCATGGCCACCACGCAAGAACCGAGGTACTGCACATGCTCGAGGCGAGAGCGGGAAATAAGCCGGTCAAGGCCTGTGATGCGGAATGCAACATCGCGGACGACTTCCCCCCTGGTGGCCAGCTGAGGGGCGCCGATTGGGGCTGGGTCAATCCCAAGAACTGCGGCGACTTTGCCTTTGGCAGCCCCCTGACTGCACGCGCCGCCAACACCGAGTATCACACCGAGCATGTCCTGGAGGCCCAGATGATCGACCTGTTCTTCAAGCACCTCGACAAGAAGAAGCCTAGGCTGCCCGACCCGAGGCCAAATGCGCAGCAGGGGCAGACCGTCTCCTTCTGTACGTATGTCAATGCGTTATGGGAAGTGCCTGCTTTCGTGTGGCCCGGCCAGGACACGACTGGTGGCGTCGGAAAAGCTTGGAACCCCATTATGCATGTTGCAGCGCAGTTCCCGACAAGGACGTTCAATAAGGCCGAGTTTGTCGCCCTCGAGTCCGCAATCAACACGCCTTCTAAGACGAGAGCCTGGGCAGGCGGAAACCCGTGGGACTTTTCAGACTGGACCAGAGATATTTCCAAATACGCGGAGGCCAGGCAGATTCTCCAAAAGTTGCGCAGCACAATGGGCTCCCGCATATACCAGAACCACTTGACCATCAGGACAACTATGGAGACCCAGGTAGATCGAATCGGCAACGTGCTTAACGCCCTCGACACGACCCTGCTGCCCGCCAACCGGCGCGCTGGTGGATACCAGCAATGGTCGCAGCAGAACCTCCAGTCCGAGTGGCTCAGTTACATGAAGGGCCAGTACACCATCATGCAGTCCAAGACCAACGGCCTCATTACCAATTTTCTGCCTATGATGACAGCTACGTGGGTCACGCCGGCAGAGAAGGCTAAGTGGGTGGACGTCGCGGGTGATTCGCAGGCGGTGCTAGACAACAAAAGGGAACATCGGGCTTTCATACAGTCTATTGAGGACTTTGAAACGACATGGAATGGGCTACCTGCGTGGACAAACCCTCTTTAGTGATAATTAAATTAGAGTAATAGTATTATTATTATTACGGGGAAAGACGGCGCCAGATAGCCAGTCGAACCCATTTCTTGGGCAACTTTCGCTTCTACTGTGTGTTTCGCAATCACTCAAACCCCTTATTTCCGGCCATACCCCATAGAGCAAGTTTCGGGATGCAAACCTCGTGAATTTCGTCGGTTGGCTTTGCTCCCTCGTGTTCTCCTAAGTTCTTCGGACTTCAGAACCCTTAAAGGATGCCGGACTGTTCCCCGAGTTGGTGCGGGGTTCTCTCCCCAACACTTGCCAGCTTGGCTTGCTCCACCGCACCGTACCAACAAATGGTGTCCGGCCTATTGCGATTAGTCGTCAATTGTCTGTGGAGAGGCTCCATCAAAAATTCAATCTTCTCCTCACGAACTGATATTGAGTGTTCTTTGATTGGAGGCGGACTGGTGTGGTATCGTTGGAAGCTCGGGTGGTTTCTACCCCGCACTCCATGTTGTGGATATCTGTGAACTGCTGAACTGATCTGAGACCATTGAAACTGCTGGTGTTTTCTTGTGCTTCTTTTTAAACAGAATTATAAACCTGATGTTCCTCTGATTGTAACGTTTCTTATCGGGTCATCTCTTTCAGTCTCTTCCCCTTGCCAAGCCTCTATAAAGCGTACAAAATGACTTCAAATTTTGGCGCGGTTCATCCTCCTGCCGGTAAAGAACAAGGACACCAAGACCCTCGTTATGTCGAATTCCCCATTGCACCAGATGACGCAACTTGGGAAGATGGACAGCCGGTCCTCAACAAGTATTCGACTTTCCTTACTCGCGAGCATGACTTTCCTGGTGCTAAGGGAAGAATTCGCCTCGAATGATCTATCGTGTGACTATACTTCGACTAACACGACTCCAGGCCATGCTTTATGCTGCGGGTGTCCCTAATGAAGAGATGATGCAAAAGAGTCCGCAAGTTGGTGTCGCTTCAGTATGGTGGGAGGGAAACCCGTGCAATATGCATCTCCTAGATTTGGGAAAGACCGTCAAGGAGGCCGTCCAGAAGAAGGGCTATATCGCCTGGCAATACAGCACGTTGGGCGTGTCCGATGGCATTGCCCAAGGCAACGAAGGCATGAGATTCTCCCTGCAGTCGCGTGAGCTCATTGCAGACAACATCGAAACCATTACCTGTGCACAAGCTCACGACGCCACTGTGGCCATTCCCGGATGCGACAAGAACATGCCAGGCTGCGTCATGGCAGTCGCCAGGCATAATCGTCCATCGGTTATTGTGTACGGTGGCACTGTTGCCGGCGGGTACTGCGAGGTCCTGAAGAAGCCCATCGACATTGTCACTTGCTACGAAGCCCAGGGCGCTTATCTGTTCGGTACGCTGGGCTCCTGGTCCGACGACGAGTCTGTCAAGCCCGAGGAAATTCTGTCGTCAATCGAAAAGGGAGCTGTCCCGGGCCCCGGTGCTTGCGGTGGCATGTATACCGCGAATAGTCTGGCAACCATCATCGAGACTCTCGGCCTATCCGTTACCGGCTCGTCAAGTACCCCAGCAGCCTCCCCGATCAAGATGAGAGAGGCAACAAAGGTAGCCGACGCCATTGAAGTCTGTTTGCGTCGCAATATTCGACCTAGGGACATTCTCACCAAGGAATCCTTTGAAAACGCACTCGTCATCACGATGGCCCTAGGAGGTTCTACCAACTCCGTCCTACATACCCTTGCGATGGCAAGAGCAGCCGAAGTTCCTCTCACTCTCGAAGATTTCCAGCGGGTCTCTCGTAAGACTCCCTTCATCGCTAACCTGAAGCCGAGTGGCAAGTACGTCATCGAAGACCTATTCCACGTTGGCGGGGTACCATCAGTCACCAAGCTTCTCATCGCTGGTGGTCTCCTTAATGGAAAGACTCTCACCGTCACTGGGAAAACGCTCGAAGAGAACGTTGCCTCTTGGCCATCGTTGGTCCCTCAACAGGACATCATTCGACCCCTGTCTGACCCCATTAAGCCCGCTGGACATCTCGTTGTGCTGCATGGGAATATCGCCCCTGGCGGAGCAGTGGCCAAGATTACCGGAAAGGAGGGTCTCCAATTTGAAGGTGAAGCACGCTGCTTCAACAAGGAGTCCGAGCTTGTCACCGAGCTCAATGCCGGCAACATCCCTAGGGACAGGAACATTGTCCTCGTCGTTCGCTACGAAGGACCAAAGGGTGGCCCCGGAATGCCTGAACAGCTAAAGGCATCCGCGACTTTGATTGGAGCCAACCTGAAGAACGTGGCACTCATCACTGATGGAAGATATTCTGGCGCCAGTCACGGCTTTATCGTCGGCCACATTGTCCCCGAAGCGGCCGTTGGCGGGCCTATTGCCGTCATCAATGACGGCGACATGATCGCCATCGATGCCGAGACATGCACGATTAGCATGAACGTGAGCGACGAGGATATCAAGGAGAGGCTGCGCTTGTGGAAGCCTCCCAGGCCTCCTGTGACAAGGGGCACCCTTGCCAAGTATGCTCATCTAGTATCGAGCGCCTCAGATGGTGCAGTTACCGACTTGTTCTAGAACAACTTGTAATAATTCAATCTTTCCCAAGACAAACACCGTACCCATTGAGTTTGTCTACGCGGCCCCTCCAGCTCACCAAAAAGTAGCCATCCGCGTGGTGCTTACCAAGCCGCCTGGAGCCGTCACGGACTTCTTCCCGATCTGACCCCCTTCCACCCTCCCCCCCCAAATGATAGCCCCCCACCCAGCGGGGTAGCGTCTCGACGCGGGGGTGGACATCCATGGTCGCTTAACCCCAAGCAGTTCATGTGTGCTTTCGACTCGTTTCGACTCGCTTGATCCCATTGCGGATTTCCCCTGTAGAGTTGAGCACTCAGATAATTGGTTTTCATTAGAGGTGAAAGAATATTGCTTCTGATGATATAGACAAGTTGGTGAGATTGCGTAAATGCAACTATGCACTTCAAATTGCATACCCCCTCTATCGGCCAAAAAACTTCAACTCCAAGTAGCGAGCAGGCAGGTATACCACAGCAGTCACCACGAACGTCAATTCATTGGCGATATCACCTCCAGATTCGCCAATGAGGCCGCCAAGAGGTCCCACAAACCATGTCTCAACCATACCCATGCACCACGCGGCCACCCCGATCAAGAAGGCAGCGCTAGCTCCGATGCCAAGAGGCAAGCGGCTCGGGTCGTTCCAACCCTCGAGATCGTAATTGGCAAAGTCTCCACGTCTAAAGATGGTGTGTTCCATAAGCAGGATAACAAAGTAGCTCGTGCACCAATAGCCCAATAAGCTGAGGAAGTTTTGCAAATAGGTGTTAAGCTGGCTGCGACCACCCAGAGCCAGCCCAATAACAACAGCAAAACAGACGAGGGTCCACAGGAACCGGGGGACTCTGGCAAACGGGCGGGCCATTTGCTGGAACGAGATGGCCGCAGAGTACAGAGAGATGATGTTGGTGTTGATGCCGCTGAAGGAGAAGATGACGAGGAGGAACTTGGCGAAACCGCGGGGGTGCAGCATATCTCGGATCAGGAAGCCAAGACCTTCGTTCTTATAGGCGTCTGCCCAAGCCGCCTGATTGTTCAGAGAGCTGGCCACCACGGCACCGGCGGTCATGCCAAAGGCGGTCGGGAGAGCGATGCCAAGAGTCGTGAGAATGAAAACCTTGAGTCGGGAAACATTGGTTGGGTAATGGACGTAGTAGTCGGAGACCATGGTGGCCCATGATGCGGAACTTCCATATACGACGGCAAGAAGCGAGAGAGCGCTGGCAGAGAGCTCGGCACCCGTGACCTGGGCCGGCGTGACGTTGTCTGCGTACGGGCCAACCATGCCGAAGATGATCATGAAGATGATGAAGTAGATGAGCCATGCGTAACGCTCGTAGATCAAAATGTAGCGCAGACCGAGGAAGCTGATGAGAAGAGAGACTACAGCGATGATGATGACGCCGACGACCAACGAAATGCGGCCATCAGCCACGGCAGTCAGCGCCAATCCACCACTAATAGAGCCGACAGAGGCCCAGCCAAGCTGTTCCAGACCGTTGAGAAAGGCAATGAGCTTATTGGGCCACCATCCAAAGCTGTATCGGGAGACGGAGATTTGACGCAGACCGGTCGCGGCACCAAAGGTGGCACAGTACCCAGACACGGCACCGCCGAGGATGGAACCAAAAATGAAGATGGGAATGGCACGCTTCAGGTCGAGACCAAACTCCCAGCCGAGGAACCCGGTGGCAAAGCAGCTGATGCCCATGGTACCACTCGCCCACAGCAGAGCCATGGTCAGTTCCTCGTGCCACTTGACGGGCTTCTTGTCGGCGTCCGTCTTGCGATCAATGGCATGAGACTCGACGCCCAGGGCCTTGTCCATTCTGCCCTCGAATCGGCGTAGAGTGGCCATGATACCGGTCTGCCTCGGATGGCCTTCGCTGCCCGCCTCGAGGGAACCCTCGGGAGACGTCTTCTCGCTCATGCCTTTCTCGTCGTAGCGATCCATGGCAGCGGCTGTTTTCTTGACCGAGATATCGGGCTCAGCCTTGAATTGGTGTAAGTCGCGGGGGAGGGAGGCTGAGGAGGTTGATGGAAGGTTAACGAAACCTAGCCAAGAAAGGGGTCTCACGTCTCTTGGCGCAGGATAGCTGCCAAGACGGGCGTTTTATTCTACGAATGCGCCTGGTGAAGCGCCTTTTTATTTTTTTTCGCCATTATCTCGGTGGGTTCATCTTCAATGCTACCCACCTTGTCGGGTGGAGGCCCTAACGTGGAAATGATTTGCGGGCTTCTAGATTGTCGCGTGCACGCTCCACACCACCCTTCTGCGTGCTTGAGTTACTGTTACTGTTACTGTGGAATGTGGTTTGGTGGTGCAGAGTCGCTCTACCTTTCTTCTACCTCAATCGGCTTTCTTCGTTGCGAGCTTTCTGTCCTCACCTCAAGCTCGAGATTCAGTGTGGGTGTTTTGCCAGGGCCCAGATCGGAGGCCGCGGTTCTAGAAACAATAGTTGCACGATTCTCAACTGACAATCTTCGGGTATTCCGGACTTCGGGTGTTCCGAAGTGACACCGAAAAACGTGTAACGAGAACGAACGCAGCGTCAACAAGTCAAGACGAACGCGAATCTTCGAATGATCCTTACACTCAGATAACAAGTGCTTTATCGAATGCATGAAAAGTCAGGCAAATCGGAGATTTTTCCATTCAATTACACAGGGGAGAAGAGCTGCCAGCCCGTGAGCAATGCACTGCCATTCTCGGTCATAGCCCGTACGGATACAGAACCAGAAGTGAGCTTATCTTCAATGTGCCGCGCGGACAGCTCCGGTTGTGGGGGGTTCCCGGCTCTTATCTCGGCTATATCGGCAGGCGTTGGTTCCACAATACGGAACTTTTGTTGTGTGTCCTGCCAATCATGTTGTGGTATATACTACTCCGCAACGGTGAGTATCAAACTAGAGTAGATAAGAGTTACACAAACGAGTCTGGTCGCGGCTGAGAAAGGGGAAGCCCTGCAAAAGTCCAGCCTCGATTCGATTTTACAGCTGCTTTAATTGATACGACAGCTGCAGCCCTAGTTTATCTCACATACACTATGCTGTCACGTCCGAACCCCCAAGCAACGATCGAGGCTCGAGCCGCAATCTTCGCAAACAACTACACTACTGCGGATGGGGAACAAATTCACCCTTGCTGAATGTCACAATCAGCAAGACGAACTGTCTATTTGATGCAGCAAGGGAGCACTTCTACGAAAAGCCACTCTTGCCTATTGAACTAAAAAAGATACATCATCATAGTCTTTTCGCATGGTGACAAGCTTGCGACTTTCAGCGACGGCTATCAAGCAACTGTTAGGTATGCAACAACTGGTAACGTGTGACTCAAGCAAGCGTATCACAGTTTGTTGAAGCTGTTACATAACTTAGAGAGGCTTGCTTCCGTAAAGCAGACCTATTCCTAGCGAACGTGAATATCTGCTATTTGGAGCAGTATGACGCTTGTCACGGCTACAAAAGCCTGAATCAGTATCAGTAAGGTAGTTCCGACCAAGAAATTTATTCTCCACGCCAAGGCGTTCCGGACATACCCCTTCGTCTTCCAAAATCCTCCTCGAGACCGAGAGTGATGTTGGCGGCATTGAAGAACATGAAGATACAGAGGAGCGAATTTTGTTTGGAACTTGTTGACTCGCTCTTGTGAGCTGGTTGCGCCTACGGTATTTAACAGTCGTGTGAGTTAGCCGACCTGCTTTTGTGAATGAACGCACAAAAAGATATCACAATGTACTTTGCGGGTTTGGGCAAAACGAATTTCAAATGTTTAAAAGTTTTGGATTGAGATTTGCGGAATCTCTCTACTAGAACAAGAGACCAACGCGAAATTTACCATTTCTACTTGTTGGTGTGATGAGGTGGCCCGCGTATGTTGACAACAGAAGTAACCAGTATACCTAAGCACTTGGACTATACGCCCAGCCTGATGTTGGTTATATGAAGTACGTAAGCACAAGTCCCTGAACTATATTCGTAGTTTGGTTGCACTGAAGCGCTCTTTGATTAGCCGGAGGATGCTCTCTCATGGGTCCTAGCCCGTAACAACTGATTAGTGACCTTCTTCTAGTTTTCACGGCAGGAGTTCGTGTTCTGGTTTGAGCAAGTCGTGGTTGCTCATTATGATTCCTCCGGCGGAGTCGCTCTGTTGGAAAGCAACTCTCACTGAAAGAAACCATGGGCCGATGAAGGGTGGTGGCTTGGAATCTTGTCAATAATATAAATACATTCAGAGAGAGGTAGAAGAGACCAGCTGGGATCACCATTAGGAGGGGATGGATCGGAATCATGGCACGGTGGATAGTAGTTGTCAAGAGCGAATATAGGAGCGTTCCTACTCCGAAGTTTGCAAGAAACTACAAAGATAATCATTCAATGTGGACTGAAAATATCACTGTTTGAGGAGGGTTGTTGGATGTCTTTTTATGCTCAGAAAATCCGGGGACACATGTAAGAAGGACAGAGAAGCGCATTTCTGCCATGTTCCATTACTACAGCAGTCGTGTATATTAACTATATCCCCTAGCTACCCGTGGAATTGTTAATCTAGCATCTTGCATTCCTTTCTTGGTAAATCTTACTATATAGAATGGTGTGAGCCTAATAGTCAAGCCTTCCACGTCCAGACAGCTTTAAGTAAGGGTACCACTTTATCGTCTCTTATGCTTCCATCTTAGGTATCAAGGTGCGTAACAACAGCTCTATCGAATTATAAAGGGCATTGTTTTCGGGGAGCCGCCTCAAACTCGTTAATTTTGAGCGGACCTGAATCCAAGTTCACCCATTGAGTGGACTCGGGTGACGGCCTTTGGTTGGCAGCCTTCATGACCACAGATAGTCACAGCAGAGACTCCGGGGACCTATCATTTTCAATAATAGCTGCAAAACAACCTTATCCATACTGATGTGTACGCAAATAAATTTAAGACATCAGGTTGCCTGTCTATGATGGGGGTCACAAGTTAATACCTGTTTTGCCTAGGATGGCGCTGAGCGCCATGACACGAACAGCAAGTTGACTGAAACAAAATACTGAGACTGTCGAGAGGTTTTTGAATCCTTTGGATTTTCGCCGTGACTGTGAGTTTCTGCAGCGGAAATTGGTTATGGAACAGTTGGTAGCCGACCGTCGCGATGTCTTCGATTTATCGAGTGGTCCTTCTCTGCCTGTTCCGTCATCGTGACTTGTGATGTGGAGTTTCTCGCCTAAGCTCTGCTCAATGGTTGGAGCTAGATGAAAAAGAGACGTTTGATTAGAAGGCTGGAGGTGCGTTCCCATTTAAGGAGAATTCTCAAGGGGTACGATGATGAGCGTAGAATAAAACCTAGTGGGCTAGAAAGTTTTAAAACGCAGTCACAGTGTCTAGCCACTACGGAGGTGAGTGGCGGGTTGGCTGAGGATGAGTGTCACTTGTTGAGTATGTCCGAGGATGATGCTGCCAGGACTTACGGGAATTTTTAGCCACTGAGACAAGTTCACAAGAGTCAACATGAGCACAAGCAACGGGAGGGAGACCGACTGTAGAGGTATTACACTGGAATCAACATCCACATCACTAACTTTGGGCGCTGCGTTCGTTATTAATCTCGCGCTCAGTGTGGGCTATCGACTTTTCACTGACCGTGGCCTCGAGATGAAGTGCCATTTCATGGGTGAAGGGCAGCTGTCGTCAATGCTGCTGGTTGCTTGTAAAGCTAAAAATATGTTCGTCGTTTCCATTCAGGGTGGCTAAAAGCTGGACGTGGCCGGCTTATATTCCCTTGTGGAATCGAGGAGAACAAACATGAGCGGATCTGGCGGCACGGCCGACTTGCGAACAAAGTATGATAATGTCGCGGCTGGAGGAGGCGCGGAAGGATGGAACAAACGAAACGACCAGCGCGGGAGCTTGCACAGGTCTTAGAGCACGTTGAAGGTGTCAAGATGGGACTCTCGGCGATGGCAGATTAAACCTGCGGTAGTATGATTCTGAGGACGCTTGAATTGGTGCTGCGACCAGGGGCAGCCACACAAAAGCGGACATTATATCATACTCTGTGCCCCCCGAGCCACAAAGCATGATACCAGTACTGTTGGTTTACGTAATCACAGGGTGATTTGTTCGATCGAACCGTGGTAACGAAGGGTCAATTACTTTTGTATTAATCTCTACGTAAAGTGGAAAAGAGAGGTTCTAACCGTTAATTAGATCGCCGGTTAAACGCTAATATAAAGACCCTTAGATGGCCCCTGCGTTAGCGTTGACTTAAGGTCGAATTAAGCTTTTAATCCGATATTAACTATTTTTTTATTATTATTAAACTTATATAATTAAAAAAGTAATTTAATAATCTCGTAATAATATATAATACGCTAATAAAAGGAGTATTTATAATTCTTTTTTTATTTTTTTTTAGGCCTTTTTTATAAAACCTATCTTTTTAGATATATTATAATCGTTTTATTATTAATAAATCGTTTTAAACTTAGGTTTAAGTTTTATTTAGTAAAAGTATTTATTAAATTATTTTCGTTATTAATTTAATAGATTTTAAGAATTTTACATTATTTATATAATTACTGTAAACTTATGATATTTATTATTAGCTTTTTTTTTTAATAATACTTAATTTAATAAGGTATTCGTATAATAAATAAGAATTTATATAAATAATCGTTAATATTATAAATAAAGTTAATTAATCCGTAATCTATTTAAATATAATAAAGATTATGTAGGCGAGGTTAACGCTATTAATTATTTTATAAATTTTAAAAGCTAGAACATTTTTAATTACTTTTTTATTTTTAATTAATAAATAATGGACGAGATTATTATAAATCGTAAATTAGTCGTTTTTTATAGCCTTATTTATTAAGATAAGAATATATTTAAATTAAGAGGTTAGATTTATGTTATTTATAAACGATTTGTTAATAAAGACGTAGAGCTTAGTAGAGGCTAAATT